AGGAGGTGATAACGCTAAATAAATTCAGTGCTGTGAAAAGCCCCCACTCTACCCATTTCTGCCAGGGACACTGCTGTTAAAATCGGAAGACCATAGGCCATTTGGTAGCCCTAGTTAGGTCAGAATGAATGCCTAAAGACAGCTTGTCTCTGATCCTAAACAGATACCTGGAAATAAATCCTGATTTTGGTAGAATCCATGTAACATGTATTGAGGATTACTAATTTTTTAAAAAATTAACTTATTGATACTTATTCAAAGATATACAAAAATACACACCCATTACAAAGTATCTTTTTAATAATATACTGAGATAAAACAGCTACTTAGCCTAAAAGAGAACAAAGTCAGGAGGAAGAAAAGACAAGGAAAGGAGAAACCTGAAGAATGAGGAAGGAGAGAAAAGGGAAAGAAAGAAAAAACTAAAGAAGGATAAAGAACGTGTGTGTGTGTGTGTGTGTGTGTGTGTGTGTCTATTTACTACCTTAATTTCCCAACTCTAAACACAGAATGATTTAAACAACAACCATCACCCATCAATAACAACTCATGTGTACAAAGGATAATGATTTGGAAGGAAGACCCCCCCCCATAGCTCTCTACTAGAGATATTTATTAAAAATTCTAAACAGTCCTTCACCCAAAAGGAGTCCAAGTTGTTAATAATAAGAATAAGAATAAGAATGTGCAATAAATGCAAAAGACCAAAACCAAAGAGCAGACCAAAATGCAAATGTATGCCCCTTTCCACCTGCCTGGGCAAACAAGACTTAACCGGGCAGCTCTTACTGTCCTTCAATCTAGAGTCATCCAGAAGAGGCTATTGAAAGCAACAGCCACTGGGGGGCCTTCATAAGCTTTCACAGGAAAAAAAAAGTGAAGCCAACTTTACAGTGCTACTTGCAAGGTTTAGGGAAGCTTCGCTGCTGTTTACAGTAGCATCTTCAAAGCAGGTAGTGTTTTTCCCTGAACTGCGACTGTGGTGCAAGGAGCAGACAGACACATCTAGATTCCAGACAGATAAGGAGATTGAATGCACCGCCAGCCCTAAGAGGTTGGAAAATCAAACAAAGCAAATAATACTGAAAGCAAATTGGAAGTGAAGGTGCAATCCCTCTTAAATCAAATACTTAAGGAGCAAGGGGGGGGGGAGGAATAAGAATGTGAAGATGAAGGAGAAGATCATTTAATATTAATTATACTTCTACCCTCCTGCCAACCTAGCAGTTCGAAAGCACGCCAAAGTGCAAGTAGATAAATAGGTACCGCTCTAGCAGGAAGGTAAACGGTGTTTCCGTGCGCTGCTCTGGTTCGCCAGAAGCGGCTTAGTTATGCTGGCCACATGACCCGGAAGCTGTACGCCAGCTCCCTCGGCCAATAAAGCAAGATGAGTGCCGCAACCCCAGAGTCAGTCACGACTGGACCTAATGGTCAGGGGTCCCCTTTACCTTACACTTCTACCCACGTCTTCCTGAAAGGATTTCTTTCCCCTTCAATTTATCCTCACAACAACCCTGTAAAGTTGCTTAGGCGGAGAGATTGTGAGTGGCTCAAACTCACCCAGGGAGCTCCATGGCTTAGCTGAGATTTGAACCTGGGTTTTCTTAGACCTGGTCCTGCAGGCTAACACTATACTTGACTTTCCTGATGGGCACCTTCTTCACTGCACAACCTGATCAAAATGCTATTCGCTCCCTCTCACAATCTGTGGCAAAAATGCCCCAGGATACCAAAAAATGTTTGATAGATATATTTGTTTTCCCATCCCTAGCCCCACCTTTTAGTTCACAAACAGCCCTTCCAGTCTCCTCTAACATCCTAATACATAACAGAAAAACAAGGGAAAGCATCAAGATTCAATAAAACAACAATGGAGCCACACTGATAACAAATGCAAATTAATACAGCTAGTAGTGACTCTGAATGCTCCTGCAGTGACACACACACACAAACAAACACACACACACACACACACACACACACACACACACACACACCCATGGATGCCAAGCATCAAAAGTATGGTAATGTAAAGGTTTTCCCCACCCACTTTCTGAACAAAGAGCTGGCCTTTCAGAGAGATGTGCCATAACTGTACAGTGGTACCTCAGGTTACATACGCTTCAGGTTACATACGCTTCAGGTTACAGACTCCGCTAACCCAGAAATAGAGCCTCAGGTTAAGATCTTTGCTTCAAGATGAGAACAGAAATCGTGCTCCGGCGGTGCAGCAGCAGCAGGAGGCCCCATTAGCTAAAGTGGTGCTTCAGGTTAAGAACAGTTTCAGGTTAAGAATGGACCTCTGGAACGAATTAAGTACTTAACCTGAGGTAGCACTGTACAGGTGTTGTTCTACAGGGATGCTGACAGTGCAATCCTAAAACTTGTCCACTCAGAGTAAGTCCCATTGGGTTCAAAGGGACTTACTCCCAGGTAAGTGGGGCTAGAATTGCAGCCCTAATATATAAGACAGGGGTCAGCAAACTTTTCCAGCAGGGGGCCGGTCCACTGTCCCTCAGACCTTGTGGGAGGCCAGACTAGATTTTTTTTTGGGGGGGGGGGAATGAACGAATTCCTGTGCCCCACAAATAACCCAGAGATGCATTTTAAAGAAAAGCACACCTTCTACTCATGTAAAAATACCAGGCAGGCCCCACAAATAACTCAGAGATGCATTGTAAATAAAAGGACACATTCTACTCATGTAAAAGCACACTGATTCCCGGACTGTCTGCGGGCTGGATTTAGAAAGCGATTGGGCCGCAACTGGACCCCAGGCCTTAGTTTGCCTACCCATGCTCCAAGAGCAGCAACATACATAGCAAAGCCTCTAACAGCAACGCCAGAGTTTAGAATCAGAAGTTAGAAACACAACAATACAGGCATGGTCCAGTCTGTTAAAATCATTTTTAAAGTTCTATCGGTTTTTATGGGAGACACAAGTGCAGCATGGCAAATATGCCAGTGTTAACTGAAAAAGACATTTCATTACCTTGTGCTTTCATTTATTCTAGGCCAGCATGATCCTTATTCATTTTAGGGTGTATGAATATCCCATGAGCCTCAGCAACATCCAGCCATTCAGCTGCTTTGAGCCGCAGCCATGAAATGTAACAGAACCAGAGAGCTGTCTTCTTTCTGAGACAACCAGAGAGGGGGAAGTGTGGGATTTTTGAGTGTCGGTCTTTGGTGGCCAATGACTGTGATCTTTCTTTTCCCCTCATGTTATCATTACATCCAAGGATGACAATTATGGTCATCTACATATCTCAAATGACTGGTTGTCCTCACTCCTGTCTGAATCATCAACTCTTGGGTTTTTTCCTTCTCGCTTTCTTTTATCACTCAGGGATGGTTTGTCACAAAGGGTGGGTGGGCCTTCAGACCAAATGGAAATATGGGTTTCTACCAACACAAAACCCCATTCCTGTTAAGTACTAGGGACTGCATTTTCAAGAAGACACGTTCTACGTCTGTATTAATGTTCAGTTGTTTTGATTTGAAGGCCTATACATTTGCCAACCTTGTGCCCTCCATATATTTTTGGACAGCTCCTGCCAGACACCAACAGAACATGTACACAAGTGTGTAGCCAACTAGGATTTTACTTAGAGTAGACCCATTGAAATGGAGCTCAGTTACTCATCTGGATTTCAGTAGGTCTACTCTGGTGTGGACTAGCCATGGATACTACCCTAGGAGAGGCACTGAGTCTGTTCAGATTTTAAAAAGCTGTCTATAGAAAGTGGAGCAGAAACCTACACGTTTATCAAGTAACATCAGTACCACCAAAACTAGCTCTCTTCTTGAGATCCCTGCCCTGAGGTCCCACCTGCCTGCACTCATGCCTCTCTTCTGCTTGCTTGGTCCACCTCAGGCATAGGCAAACTCAGCCCTCCAGATGTTTTGGGACTACAACGCCCATCATCCCTAGCTAACAGGACCAGTGGTCAGGGATGATGGGAGTTGTAGTCCCAAAACATCTGGAGGGCCAAGTTTGCCTATGCCTGGTCCACCTCATCTCTTTAGCTTGTTTCCTAGCAACCCAGGTGGGAGTGGTTGTAGGGTTGTCAGGACATGAACCTGTGAATTCTTTTAAGAGAGCATCACACCTAATGAAAATAAGCCAAGTGGCCAAGGCAGCAAGCCACGATGAGTGTGCAATAGGTGACACAAAAATCACGATCTGATAATGCCCCCAGATACTTGCTTTTCAGAAATGAAAGAAGGCATTTCAAATCTGCCTTTTCGTTGTTGCTAAATCAATAACCACACCACAACCACTTCCAGATATGCTGTAACAATCGAGAGAAGCTGCCCCAGCAGGTCAGGTATACAGTCAGTCTCCTTTTGTGATCAGCCCATGATGCCAAACACCCAATGGGAGAATAATAATAATAATAATAATAATAATAATAATAATAATTTATTATTTATACCCATCTGGCTGGGTTTCCCCACTCATTAGATCCCAGTATTTAATAATCTACTGTAGTGATAGCTAGATGTTGTGAACGACAGCTGTGATCACCCCTGACTGTTGGCCATGTTGTTCAGTGCTGATGGGAGTTGCAACATATAAAATCTTACTCCTGATCTAGCGAGAAAGAGTGAGCCAAGGGAGTAGCACATTTTCACATGCAAAGCTTATTTTGAAAATGTATTTGTACTTACAAGCCCGTGAATGATCCTAAGGTGCAAAAAAAGCACAAAATAAAAATGAACAAGCATAAAGGTAGACGCTAGGCATTTGCAATAAAGCCCAAAGGGTTTTATTCACATGGGAAACTAGTTTGAAGCAAGATTCACTGTAAGCTGCCTTGAACTTAGTTCAGATTTTTGACTCTGCCATGAACTATTTTTGGAGGGACCCTTTTTGCTTTGTTATATGCTTTTATACTTTACTGGTAGACCTTATGACGAATTGTAAGAGGTTTTAATTTCATGGAATATTTATTAATGAAATATTTCCATCAACATATTTTTTATTATTTAAATTTGGTTATATTTTGTAACATAGTGAATTCTGAGCATCGTTGGTGCTGAAGACAGGATGGGGGTGAACTTGCTTTGTGTGTCTTAACCAAACTCTCTTCTCCCTATTACAATACAGTACAAAATCCCCATCTACAATACAGTACAAAATACCTTGTTTGGCATTCATCCTTCCTTGTTCTGTGGCTGTAAGGTAAAGTACTTAGAGCACATTGAGTACTAAAGTGCTAAAAGTGTGACCAGCAACAAGAGGTTGCCATACGGAGTGCTCCGATTCTGAATTTTAGGCAACCACACCCTTTTCCAGGCTTATGAAGAATTGGGGCACATCCACGCCAATGGCTTCCCCCAAAGAATCATGGGAACTGAAGTTTGTTAGGGGTACCTCCAGGATTCTATGGCCTGTCCTAAACACATAGTGTCATTGTGCTCTTGAAATTGCTATCAGGCTATAGGACATTGATTTTACTCCTCCTGCTACCACTGCTTCAGGCAATCAGTATTCTAAGCATTGGATCTTCAATGTTTTAAAGAAATTCTAGCCCTAACAATCTTGGGAGGGGGTTCCCCACTTCTTTAGTGGGGCATTTTTCACCGCCATGATGAATCCAGATGGCTCGTTTCCCCTATAGATAAGACACAGCTCACAAAACTGATTGTCTTCTGGGAGTTTGTCCAGATTCCATAACACACTCAGGTTGGTTGATCATTCAATGGCATCACCAACAACTGATGTCAACCGCAGTCATTCTTATCCAGAAAAATGCAATGAGGTAACACTGGCTTTTTTTATTTAGAAAAAGACTGGAGCTTTTATTGAATATATGCCATTGGGGAGGGCAATTAAAGATGGAAGTCCATCAAGCTGACTAATATACAAGAAACCTTTTTTCAGTAGTACTGTGAGAATAACATTTGGAACTTTAATTCAGCACAACAGCCATTGTATCTTTAGTTTCTCTCTATATATACATCTTGCAATATACTCTCAGATCCCTCCTCCAAAATATAAAAATATTTTGAGTGAACAACTTCTCTGAGGTGAAAGCCATGACAATAAATACTGATGAGGTTATTTGTGATACTTCCGCTTCACTCTAGAGCAAAATATATAACTTTATTAGCCATACATTCCAAGATAATTTAAGAAGGGATATACACAAGAGGAGACAACCATGCACACAGCCAGAGCTTTGTCCCCTGATGGGACTGCAGCATTTCCCTGTCGCTGAAGAGGGCAGCTGGTTTTTTTACATTGGAAAATGGCTTGCCTCTTCAGCCAAGGGGCTTCCTGCAGCAAAACCAGAGCTCAAGGTGAGCACAAAGGCCTCCGTGAAACGCACTGCCCTTATTTAGAGCATTGTGTGCCGAAAGAACCAGAAACTTTGAAAAGTGCAGCTGTGCCAAACCCTGGTTATACAGACAACCTGAAGAACACGCGAGGGATACATAGAAAACAATTTGGCATCTCGACAGTTGGAATGTGGCATCCTCTTTACACAGCCACTGGGAGAGAAAGTGGGGCTTGGTGCCCACACAATGGAAGCCAATGTCAACCTGCGAATGTGGTGCCAAGTTGGGAATTCTGGAGTCCTGCTCCTCATATCTCAGAGATGTGCCTACTAAGAAAACGTAAGACATCTCATCATGGAGCCAACACATACAAAACAAGCCCTCTTTGTGCATGTGCAGGAGGGCATCAAAGGTGCTCTGTCTAGTGACTGGCTGCATTCAGACACCATGATTAAACTACGGTTTATTGTGAGGCAAATGAGTCTAGGAGGGCCTTGGCTTCACGTGTTTCCTCCCTCCCCTCTCTAGCACATCCACAAGAAGTTTTTTTACTTCTGTTTTTGATTAACTACCATTTGTTGTGTCCTCTAAACTTGGGCATATCCATGCCAATAGTTGGACATAGTTAATCTTAACTATGGTTTTCTGAAACAATCCAACGTCAAGCCATGGTTTATGAAGCTGTCTTGTTTCAACAAACCGTAGTTATGATGAGCCACAATTTAGGGTTCAGACACAAGCGAAACTGTGGTTAATCTAAAACCTCCATTCTCTGTGTGGTTGTGCGGGGAGGAGAGGAGGGGAAATGCGTGAGTCCCAGACATACTTAGGCTCATTCCCACCATGATGATTTATCATGTTGTCCAAACGAAGCCACGGAAAAGCAACACATTAGTGTCTTAGTTGCTGCTACTGAGGAGCAGGCATTGACAAGGAGGCCACCGATGCAAAGCTGTCATTCCACTGCCTTCCAGAAGTACTTGACTGAGCTGCTGCTGCTGCTGCATGCGCCTTGAACTTTTGCAGAAGATCTTGGGCTTCTTGCTTGTCTTGCAATGGGCTTTCTCCATACTCAGCCCTGAGCCACTCTCTGACCTGGAGGGACGAAACAAAGAAAAGGCAAAGAAAAACATTGAAACACAGCCTAATATAAAAAGGGTTTGAGCGGCTTTAAATGTTTTAGGTAGTTTTAAAACTGACTTGGAAATGATTACAGATCTCAGGGAGGGATGGATGCAGTGCCGGATTTGTGTATAAGCTAAACAAGCTATAGCTTAGGACCCCACTCTCTTGGAGGCCCCCAAAAAATTTAAAGGCAAAAAAACCTGGATGTACATTTCCAAAATATAAGATAAAAAACAAATAAAATAAAACCTACATACAGCAACAGTGTTTTGTGATGTGTAGGCTCCTATGATGTAAGTAATGGGCCCCGCCCGCTACCCTGCTCCCTAAAAATATCACTGGTTTGCTCATTTCTATGTACAGGATGCCTACATTCTGCATGTGCAAATGGCTTTGGGTCCATAAATTACCATGTAGCATATATTCAACACAAAAAACAGCGGCAATTTGTTGTTGACAAAGGACAGCTGGATATATAAAGGGCGCCATTACCAGTAGCTTAGGGCCTCATTAAACCTAAATCTGGCCCTGCATGCATGTGGCCCTCAGCTTCGTTTCATGAACCCCTCGGCCTAATGTCAAAAAGCCCTCTGTGAGTGGCCATTCAGACCTCTGGCAAGGGCAATACCTCCCTCCGCTGTTGGATGAGGAGGAAAGAGGAGGCAGCATCAAAGAGAGAGCGAGGAAAAGGGGTAGCCCTGCCCACTTTTGGCTCTGGCCCCTCCCACCTGTCCCTTGCCCCACCCACTGTTCACATGTGGTGCCCTGACAGATCCTCTCCAAGTGGATATGGCCCTTGATCGAAAGGCCCTTGATCGAATGTCTACTAGGCAGAACCCCTGTTCTGCCTAGTAGACTTAAGCTATAGGAAGGAAGATGTCAGGTGACTATTAAGAGAAAATTCTTAGCGGTATATACAGGCAGTGGCAGAGCGTGTCTTCAAGGCACCGAGGGATAGAGGGCAGGGTATACCGGGGGGAGTATGTGGAGGGCATGAGGAGGACGCAGAAGGGCAAGCCTGCATCCACAAAATCAGTCAGATTGGGCTGATTTTAAGGGCGCATGCCTGTTGCATCCTTCTAACGCCCTGCCAGCCCCACGCTGCTTTGAGAGGCTGGGATGAGTGATCAGACTCATAAAGTAGCGCAGTGCTAGCAAGGGTGGCATGAGGAGCAAAATGCACCCTCAAAAAAATCCACAAACCTACGCCCTAGCAACGGCCCCCCTTGCCCTGCCTATGACACACCACTGTGTACAGGTGAACTGTGGAACCAATTGTTGTTGTTGTTTAGTCGTGTCCGACTCTTCGTGACCCCATGGACCAGAGCACTGCCTCCCACAGTTTGGTCAAACTCATGTTGCTACAGGATATGTGTGGGTTGTGGCTTACAGTTGTGCGTACACAGCTTCAAAAACCAGTGGTGGGACAACACGTGTTGTTGTTTAGTCATTTAGTTGTATCCGACTCTTCGTGACCCCATGGACCAGAGCACGCCAGGCACTCCTGTCTTCCACTGCCTCCCGCAGTTTGGTCAAACTCATGTTTGTAGCTTCGAGAACACTATCCAACCATCTCGTCCTCTGTCGTCCTCTTCTCCTTGTGCCCTCAATTTTTCCCAACATCAGGGTCTTTTCCAGGGAGTCTTCTCTTCTCATGAGGTGGCCCAAGTATTGGAGCCTCAGCTTCAGGATCTGTCCTTCCAGTGAGCACTCAGGGTTGATTTCCTTCAGAATGGATCGGTTTGATCTTTTTGCAGTCCATGGGACTCTCAAGATTCTCCTCCAGCACAATAATTCAAAAGCATCAGTTCTTCGGCGATGAGCCTTCTTTATGGTCCAGCTCATTTCCATACATCACTACTGGGAAAACCATAGCTTTAACTATACGGAACTTTGTTGGCAATGCTTTCTAATTGGATTGAAGCTGGTTTGAGGGGTGAAACACACACACCGAAAATCAGTATTTTTGTAGGAACCCGTGGATCAATATAGATTTTGGCTAATGTCACATTAGTGCAGCTTCAAAAACGAGCAGAGGGTGTGGAGGAAACAGTAAGGTGAACACATCCTAGCTCTGCATTTCCTGTATCAAGCAGGGACTTGGGTCAAATGTCCCCCTGCCATTGGATGGTTCTTTTTTTTTAATAAAAAAAAGTTATGATTGGCTAAATAGGCCTTCAATTAATCAGGAGGCACTTTGAAAACATAAAAAACCACTCTTTAAAATACAAGAACCTATACTAGAAAAATATTTAAAGGGTATAAAAAGAACAATATGGGAAGCAGCACTTAAAATGGAGGCATCTTGTCCTGTGAAAAAATAAATGTGGAGGTGGAAGTTTGCTTTAGCTCTTCTGGGAAAGAAGCGAACTGAAAATTTGCATTCAAAACTGGATCGTCAATACAGAATTCTTTTTAAAAACCACTATATACCTAAGCGATTTTAATCTAGGTAATTGGAATTTGAATAAAATATGATTTTTATCTAGTTGATTTGAATCTATGCAAAAAAAAATCCACCTCTCAGTCCTTTTTTAATGCAAGCCTTCCCCCCCCCCCTTACACAAAAGCATTATGGAGCGTCTGTCTGTCTGTCTGACATGTGGCAAAAATGGTATACCTAGGCTATGCAAAGATGTAATATGACATTAGATGCTATTCGAAAGGTCAAAAGTTTGGGGAGAGATCTTTCCCGGAACTACCAGAGGCTGTTTTCAGAAAGAAATCTAAGTACAATTCGTGGTTATCTGACGCAAGTTTACATTGCCCCAGTGCTATTTTTCTAGAAAAAGAGGTGCCAGAACGCACCATGAACGCCTCCCTTGTTTCCTTATAATGTCAATGGCACCCGTCAGAGAGGTGCAGGAACTGTGGTCAAGCGAGTTCCAGCTGAAATAAAGCCCTGATCATCCCCAACATTTTAAAGGTTTACAGTGCTACCTTGGGTTAAGTACTTAATTTGTTCCGGGGGTCCGTTCTTAACCTGAAGCTGTTCTTAACATGAAGCACCACTTTAGCTAATGGGGCCTCCTGCTGCCGCCGCACCGCCACAGCATGATTTCTGTTCTTATCCTGAAGCAAAGTTCTTAACCTGAAGCACTATTTCTGGGTTAGCGGAGTGTGTAACCTGAAGCGTATGTAACCTGAAGTGTATGGAACCCGAGGTACCACTGTATTTGAAAATACTTTATTTCGGGCTGAGGCCTCTACAGCCACCTTAATGTCCACTAGGATGGAGCTCAGCACCCACAATTTAGAGAGGGGGCAGAGCAGGCCTGGCAACATGTTACCCCGGGAAACGTAGCGTGGCCTGGCAGGAATCCGCCCCATGCTGCACAGCGTTGGGAGACGCCACACGGACCAGCGCAGGCTGGTGGGCGAATGTTACATTGGGAGGAGGCCCAATCAGCCTGCAACATTCACCACGCACGTGACATGCAATATGTGCAACGTTAGCCTCCCCAATGTCGGGCGCAACTCGGCGCCTGTGTTTGGTAGTGTTACACAGGTTTCAAATACAGTAGTACCTCAGGTTAAGAACTTAATTTGTTCTGGAGGTCCGTTCTTAACCTGAAACTGTTCTTAACCTGAGGTACCACTTTAGGTAATGGGGCCTCCCACTGCTGCCACCACGCGATTTCTGTTCTCATCCTGAAGCAAAGTTCTTAACCCGAGGTATTATTTCTGGGTTAGTGGAGTCTGTAACCTGAAGCGTCTGTAACCCAAAGTACCACTGTATATCCAAATATATGGCTGCATCTTCTGCCAGCATAAGCTTGAATTAAATACTTATTGTACTGCCATCCTGTTGTCTATAACTGGGTAGCCTTATGTAGGCCTGTTCTGGCTACTGCTACCAACGTATGTCTGTGGTTCCCCTCGATAGGTCTCCTGGCTCCTCCTCTTGGCTGCCTGTCACCCATTTCAACCCATCTGGAGCTGTCCCCTTGACCAATTCTGCTCACACAAGCTAAGCTGGGCCAACCCCCACCCCCAAACAAAGGTTTTTGAACCCATCTGCCCTTCTTAAAAAGAAGAGAAAACAAGTAGAGTCTGCAGAATCAGGCCAGTGCTTGTTTCGTGGTTGTTGTTTAGTTGTTTAGTCGTGTCCGACTCTTCGTGACCCCATGGACCAGAGCACGCCAGGCACTCCTGTCTTCCACTGCCTCCTGCAGTTTGGTCAAACTCATGTTTGTAGCTTCGAGAACACTGTCCAACCATCTCGTCCTCTGTCGTCCCCTTCTCCTTGTGGCCTCCATCTTTCCCAACATCAGGGTCTTTTCCAGGGAGTCTTCTCTTCTCATGAGGTGGCCAAAGTATTGGAGCCTCAGCTTCAGGATCTGTCCTTCCAGTGAGCACTCAGGGCTGATTTCCTTCAGAATGGATAGGTTTGACCCAAAGAATGCTTGTTTTAGAAAAGATAATGACATGTGTGCAACAACAGCCCATGCACAAGCTAAAGTGTACTATGCACCACTCACAGTTCAGTGCAATCTAGGCATACTTAAGTGAGAAACCCCCACTAACTAAGAGGAATGATGGGTGCAGTGGCAGAACATATACTCTGCATGCAAAAAGTCCCAGATTCAATCCCTGGTGTCTTCCTGAAGCGATGGGGAAAATTTCCATCTGAAATCCTGAAGAGCTGCTCTCCATCACTGTCGATAAAGTTGATAGAAGCAGGGCTTTTTTTATATAGCAGGAACTTGGCAGAACTGTGTTCCCTTACCTATTAAAAATTAGTTTTTTGTTTGTTGGGGGGGGGAGGAGTCTGGAACAGATACACACCCAATGCCTGAGCCAGAATTCCACCTCTATCTGTAATCAATAAAGCTGTGGCCATTTCTAATTCAGATCATTGTCTGCTTGAGTTTATTAATCACATCTTACATTTAGCCACTGCCAGGGTGGGGTGGGGCTGTGGCACTGTGACTTTGGCCCACAATAAATAAACAAACAAACAAACAAACTTTGTGGTGAATTCCCCCCCTCCCCCCCCGAAAAAAGTACTGACTAGATGGATTAGCAGTCTAGCTTGGTATCAAGAGCTTCCTAGTTCAGTGTGGCTCACTCCCTAGCACAGGCATCCCCAACCTTCGGCCCTCCAAATGTTTTGGACTACAATTCCCATCATCTCTGACCACTGGTCCTGTTAGCTAGGGATCATGGGAGTTGTAGGCCAAAACATCTGGAGGGCCGCAGGTTGGGGATGCCTGCCCAACAAGTGTGTTTAGGATTGCAGCAGCTTATAATATTTATACAGTGGTGCCTCGCAAGACGAAATTAATCCGTTCCGCGAGTCTCTTCGTCTTGCGGTTTTTTCGTCTTGCGAAGCACGGCTATTAGCGGCTTAGCGGCTATTAGCGGCTTAGCGGCTTTAAGAAAAAGGAAACAAACTCGCAAGAACTCGCAAGACGTTTCGTCTTGCGAAGCAAGCCCATAGGGAAATTCGTCTTACGGAACGACTCAAAAAACGGAAAACTCTTTCGTCTAGCGAGTTTTTCGTCTTGCGAGGCATTCATCTTGCGGGGCACCACTGTACATTGAATAGAAAGGGAATATATAAATGACAGGAGTGCCAACTATGAAGGTGCATAAAGGATGAAGGCAGCAGCATCTCTCCCCAACTATTCTCATACTAGGATAGCCAACCCAGTAGTAGCAGCAGCAGCAGTTTTCTGGTTGTGGGAGGTGGATACAAGCCTGGCAGTAATGTGGTCTTTAAATAAAACAAACAGGAAATAGTTTCCCTTGGGGGACCAGGAAAGGACAGCCGGCATCCTTTGAAAGGGGGGGGGGGGAAATCATATTAAAAATATTTGTGAAATGGCTAAACATAGCTGAGAGAGAGAAATAACCTTAGCCAAAGGAGGTTTCTTTTTCTGCTCCTTTGAAAAGGCTCATGTAGCAGAGAAAAGCAGCGCTTACCCTAATGGGTAACTAACGGAGGGAGGTAGAATTAAATGAATGAATTTAAGTCAATTTATTTCCCTGGCTCTAACTGTTGGGATCTCATTCCAGATGTTACTGAGAGCCAGCTCCCATCATGCCTGACTCCTGGTCATGATATCTGGGGCTGATGGGAATTGGGAGTCCAACAAGAGTTGGAGGCAGCCATATTGGCTACTCTGAGCACGACCATCCTTAAAGCAAAACGAACGTTAAATGCCTCAGACTGCACTAGGTGAAGAGGAGAGATGGATTGCATCTCATCTATCCTTGGCAGCTACATTATTCTGAGGTGTCACATGACTTGAAGGGGCAGGGAAACGCAGGGATCAGGGCTGCAATGCACACTTACTATAGAGACCCACTGAGCTGAGAAGGATTCATTGCTAAGAGCTCCATGCTGTTAGCAGTCAACATCAAAACTGCCCATTTCTTGGCAACAGATAACACAGAGCATAGGAGCCAACTCCTAGGGGCAAAAGTCCACCCGATAAAGTATTGGAGGGTCCCACCGCAAAGTTGATGGGCATTGCCCATCAAGTGTCATGTCATGTGCAACCGTCATGTCATGTGATTATGTGGGGTGGGGCTTACCTCCCCATCCCAATATTTGATTTCAGTTGGCACCCCCGATTCATAGGGAGAAATGTACAGATCCCATACACACAGTGCTTTTTTTCTTAAAAAATGTTTAGGGGTAGTCTCATTTTCCTACTCATATTGAAATACTGCCCCTCAATGAGGCCGAACTTAGATTCACAAAATGTTTAGGGGTATGCGTCCCCCCAGAAAAAAGCACTGCATACATATATAGCAGGGATGAGGAACACGATCTGGTCTGCAAGCCAGGTTATTTCCCCTAACCTTCGCAGGCCATGTTTGACAGGTAGGCAGGGCTACCCACCTGCCAATCGCCCGATGTTCCAATGACATCAGGGGAAGCAATGTGTTCCACAAGATGGCGTTTTCAAAGAGGCTCAGCAAGATTCACCAATCAGATGATTGTTTAGTCTTGACTTGAGAGCCTCTGAAAGTGCTATACAGTGGTACCTCGGGTTAAGTACTTAATTCGTTCCGGAGGTCTGTTCTTAACCTGAAACTGTTCTTAACCTGAAGCACCCCTTTAGCTAATGGAGCCTCCTGCTGCCGCCGCGCCGCCAGAGCACGATTTCTGTTCTCATCCTGAAGCAAAGTTCTTAACCCGAGGTACTATTTCTGGGTTAGCGGAGTCCGTAACCTGAAGCGTATGTAACCCGAGGTACCACTGTACTGGGAACTGATCCACCTGCCACCCCACTTTTGGCCCAGACAGGTTTTCACATTCGCTATATATATATATATGCTGGCAGGTGGACATGTCACCCCTGCCATATGGGCAAGATGGATGGAGCAGCCCCTATTTGTAGGAATATATTTTCGCAAGATAGCATGTGCTTTTCTATGAAAGCTGCAGACTCTTCTCCTACATGGAATTGGGGGGGAAAGGAAAGGGGGGGGGACAGCACGAACCCAAATACATGCTATGATCTTCCTAAACACCATTTGCATAATGCAAGGACAATCCATCATTTCAAGTCAAAACTTTATCAGATCAGAAATGACTGTGAGGGTTCAAATTAAGGAGGGAGACAACCAGGCTGGAAAGTCCCTCTGTGATGTAAAGTCAGTTTATTTCCATGGACTCTACTCCTCCATAGCTTGGGAATGGTAAGCCTTTGAGATGAAACAAATATTCAGAGCTGAATAATACATTCGTGTTATATGCAGCAGCCGATTCAGAGCTACCAAGCATGCTCTAACAAAGCCAGTTTGCCTCTCCTTTAAAAGGTAAGGGACTAAACAGACTTTACAAATGCACTGAGCTGCCCAAAATGTACTAACGAATGCATCATATATTAGAGGACATTTGACATGTCAGATCCATGCTGCCATCCAGGGAGGCCTTGGGGGCAGAGGTCCACAGCCCCACTCAGCAGAATGGCCCCCAAACACAGGAGGAAAGACTTACCACACTGTGAAGTGAACTAATACACATTGCCATTCTTCTGGGGTAGTCCGCACCCTGCGCTCAACTCTCACCTGTGGCTCCTAGCAGCTGCCAGCATGCGACAGCAGCCACACCCCAAGGAATGGTTTTGATTGGCCAGGTGAGGGTAGCCGGTGGGTCTCAAATGCTTGGCAGGTTTGGGACTTCCTCTGCATGCAAAGACAGACTCTGGCAGATAGAGTGGATGAGACGAATAGTGGGTCCAATGGTCAGGCGGGCACTTTCTGCACATGCTGTAGAGCAGTGGGTCTCAACCTGTAGGTCCCCAGATGTTGTTGGACTACAACTCCCATCATCCCTGAGCTCTGGCCTTGCTAGCGAGAGGTGATGGGAGTTGTAGTCAAACAACACCTGGGGACCCACAGGTTGAGAAAGGCTGCTGTAGAGGGAAGTGAGGGGCAGATGGGGCTCATCAACCTGGGAAGGTAGCCCATCTAGGAGAAGGTAAACTCTGATCCTCCATCCTCTGCCTTGCAGGATATCTTCGGGAAATGGCTAAGGAGTAAACCCAGAGTGGAGTCCCTAAGATGGTAGGATGAGGCCTTGTATGCCTCCTTCCAGCAACTCCTGCAGCCAAACTGCTGCTAAATGTCTTGCTCTGGCCCCACCCACTGTTGGCAAGTGGCCCCAGAAGGCTACCAAGAGACGGAGCGTGATCCTCAGGTTAAGAGAAGTTCCCCAACCTTGATTCTCGCGTGGAGTCCTTACGTACTTACGTGAGCAAGCTCAGTTTTCTCAAACTCTTCCAGCTGCCGTTGGAAGCCCGCGTTCGGGTTGGCGCACGATCTCGACGCTCGCACTACCGACAGCGCGTCCTCCCAGCCGAGATCAGTGATGGTCATTATGTAGGCCACAACCAAGGTGGCACTCCTGGAAACGCCGGCAAGGCTGAATTGCCAAGCAGGCGTGGACAAGTAGATACACAGAGGTTATAGTAAGCTGAAAGCGCATCATGGACATTAGGTTTGACAGAAAGCATGTTTTTCTTTTTTTAAAAAAACACCAAACAAACCATGCAAAATAATGATGATTCTCATTCGGCAAGTGTATAAATTTCAAGTTTCAAAGCAAGGCATACTTCCCAAAGCAGTGCAGTCCTGAACATGATGGCAATGTTCAAAAAGACGAGTGTTTACGGAAAACGTTACAGGAATGCACCACAAGCTTATACCAGTTCAGTGGGCACAAGTTCCCGCTAAGAATTCTGGGAATTGTAGTTTGGTAAAGATGCCCTGCCCTCAATGAACCTTATTTCTAAAGACATTGCACCAGCAGGCAACCTAAAATGGGCAACTTCATGGCTTCAGCAGCATAGATGCTCCGTGCAACTTGGAACAATGCACAGCTGGAACGTGGTATCACATGCATGCGCACAGTCAGGCTTCAGCAACATTGGGAGCATAGCCTGGCTCTCAATGCCACATTTTTTTCTGGACCCATGGAAGAAATGACCAAAGTGGGCGCATTGCCTCTCTCCAGTACAATAAGCAACAGGGGGAAGCGGCAATGCTTCAGAGACGCATTTGCTTCCCCCAATCTTCGGGAGCGGAAGGCAAGATCATGACTGAGACTGGAAAGGCTGAGAAGCAAAAAGGGTGCATCCTGCCAGACTGCATGGTAATCTAATGGGGCACAAATTATCTCTTCCCTGCCCTGTGCTCATCCCAGAACACTGTTTTGAAGTCAAGCAGAGGCCGATGCACTGAGAAGATTCCCATTTGGCTAAGCATCAGGCTCATGGGGCTTGGCCAGCCTCCCTCTGTCGTGATCTGTACAGGCCCAGCTCTACTCCAGCTTCATTCAGTGGAAAAGCTACCTTTGCCAAACTGAAAGATCATAGAAGCTACTGTTGTTGAAACCCTGTCCCCAAAATACTCCTCCCCTCCCCACCACCACAACGGTGGTCTCAAATTATTTCGCCTTTTCTGAAATTCAGAGCTGCGTGTGGATCCTTACGCAGCCAAGACACACTATTCACACACCAAATGTATCAGCAGAGGGAACCCAAAGGGTTACAGGACTACAAAATATCTTCACAGGGGAGAACCTAAGGAGGGGAGCCTGAAAACAGACCAGTGAGCATGAAACCAGGAATAATCAAATGTAGAATAGTCTTAAATGAAATACGTACCAGTGAACAAGGCAGCTCTGACCTCCAAGTCGGCATTCGTGGATAAATTCAATGCTCTCTTTGAAGTGTCTGACCCTTAAAAATTAGATGTAGACTTGATTTAGTCCCAGTTAACCTAAGGGATTTCTTATTCCTCTGTCCCACTGATTTGCCTTCTGAAGGTGGTTTGCAGTATTGCCCAGTGCTGTCTTTTAGAGTGACATGGTTGCCTTTGCAGCCAAATATTTGGATAGCAACTGCAGCATACTGAGTAACACCAACTTAGTGGGTTTCTGGGGAGAAGCTGCTTAGTGGGCTTCTGGGGAGAAGCTGGGGAGAAGGGCAAAGGCATTCTTGTTCTCCCAGGCATGTGGAACTTGACGTGGTTTGATTTGTGGCCTGTTCTTGCTTTTCATCTTTTCGTTGGGCGGGGAAGGACATTCCCCTTGTTACTGAAGGAGCGTCCCTACCCCCATCGCTCAGCCCAAACACTGAGCTCTAGCTCCGAGGGCCTTCTGGTGGTTCCCTCACTGCAAGAAGTGAAGCTACAGGCAGTGGTGGAGCTTCATGCTCCGGCACTGCGGGCGGAGAGCAGGTGGGGGCAGGGCTGGCGCACGTCCCAGGGGCATGGCGCCCGGTGCAGGTGGGGGGGCAGCCGCAATGTCACCCTGGGGATCGTGCTGCTGGGGGAGGTGCGCTCCCCCCGCACTCCTCTTCCTCTGCCAGTGGCTACAGGGAAACAGGCAAAGGGCCTTCTCAGTAGTGACACCCACCCTGCGAAACACCCTCACATCAGATGTCAAGGAGATGAGTAACTATATAACCTTTATAAGATATCTGAAGGCAGCCTTGTATAGGGAAGCTTTTTAATGTGTAATGTTTTCTTACGTTTTTATAAATGTAGTGCCATCTCAAACTCTGCATGTTTGATGGCTACCTTGCCGGTGATTATCACAAGGAGACTGAGGTAGCGAGCATCCTCCACCCTCATTTCTTCTTCCCAAATTCCCCGGCCTCCCACTTTTTGCAGCCAGTAAATTGGGTGGTGACTTGTGGCTGTACGCACACACAGTGTGGTCCAGATGTATGAATAACACCAAGCAGCTCAGTGGTTAGCAGCACACTCTGTGTACCAGGACTCCTTGGTCCAAGTCACAACTCCTTGGCTTGATCTAATCTCAGCCCAGCCATGAAGCCTATGGGTAACCTTAGGCAAGCTACAGCCACAGCTGTCAACTGTAATAAAGAGATATTTCATTTATTTATTACATTTATATACCACCTTTGTCTTCCAAGGACCTCAACATGGTGTTCTAGTCTATTTATACAGCTGTTGTAAGGATGGGTGGGATAATGGGTGATAAAATACAGTGGTACCTTGGGTTAAGTACTTAATTTGTTCCGGAGGTCCGTACTTAAACTGAAACTGTTCTTAACCTGAAGCACCACTTTAGCTAATGGGGCCTCCTGCTGCTGCCGCGCCACAGGAGCACGATTTCTGTTCTCATCCTGAAGAAAAGTTCTTAACCTGAAGCACTGCTTCTGGGTTAGCAGAGTCTGTAACCTGAAGTGTATGTAACCTGAAGCGTATGTAACCCGAGGTACCACTGTATTAGAATTTAGTGCTCCCCTCCCCTTCCCCAAGCCGTAACTACAGTGGTACCTCGGGTTAAGTACTTAATTCGTTCCAGAGGTCCATACTTAACCTGAAACTGTTCTTAACCTGAAGCACCACTTTAGCTAATGGGGCCTCCTGCTGCTGCCACGCCACCAGAGCACAATTTCTGTTCTCATCCTGAAGCAAAGTTCTTAACCTGAAGAACTATTTCTGGGTTAGCGGAGTCTGTAACCTGAAGCGTATGTAAACTGAAGCGTATGTAACCTGAGGTACCACTGTATAGTGTCAGTAGCTCATTTGAAGCAGCTGCTCCACGGTTGGGGACACTTCACCACCACCCACAGCACAGTCTGAAATAAACATTTGTACCCAACACAGAAGAAATCCCCACAATCGTTCTCAGAGTGTAAACTTCCTAATTCTTACATCTGCAAGGCTAGAGTTTTCCCACCCACCCCAAGCCTTTCAGCTCTGGCAGCACGGCCTTGGGAAATTACAACCCCTTTTGTGGGGTTCATCTTCAGCTTAGGCAACAATGTCTTGAGAGAAGGTACACATCATGGAGGATAAGTCTATCAGTGGCTATTAGCCACAATAGGCATGTTCTATCTTCACTATTGGAGGCACTATGCCAGGCATAGGCAAACTCGGCCCTCCAGATGTTTTGGGACTACAAAACCCATCATCCCTAGGTAACAGGACCAGTGGTCAGGGATGATGGGAATTGTAGTCTCAAAACATATGGAGGGCCAAGTTTGCTTGTGCCTGTACTATGCCTTTGACTACCACTTGCTGGAAATCACCGGTGGAGAGAGTGGTGTAGCAATCAGGTCCTGCTGACTGGCTTCCCATGGGCATACAGTTGGCCACTGAGAGAACAGGATGCTAAACTACATGGGCCTTTGGGGCTGACCCAGCAGGGCTCTTTGCATTTGTTCTTACTGCTGCAACAGGTCTTACAGCTATCAAGAACCCATCTTCTCACTCTTGCCATTTTGTAGCGCCACTAGATGCTTGGGCCCTTCCTAATGGCGTAGCGTGGCTTGCCAGTGCCCAGGGCCACTCGGAAGGGGTGGCTGGGAGGGAGATGCAAGGCGTACACATGCATATTCAACGGCCTAAGGGTGTCCATGTCACCCAGGAGATTGCAGCCACAGAGATAATAAAAGAAGAGTCATTACGTTGTCCAGAGAGAGGTCACTTCCCGGTTCGTTTTCAATGAAGCCCAACTATATTGAGGCAGCACTGGGTGTTGAAATCTCACACATCCTAACAATGTCGTGCCCGGGGCAACCGCCCCTGTGGCCCACCCGAGGCAACGCGAGAGCCACAGGGGAATAAATGGAAGGCCCAGGGAAATCCAGAGCACAGGAGATCTGGGGCTTGGTTACTTAAATTGGGAAAGCTACCAGATCACACATACGCAAAGGCATCTACTAGTATAGTCGCGGTAACCACAGTGAGCGGCACAGTGTCTCAAGGGAAGTCACTGAACCGAACAGCCAGGAGGGGAAGCCTGTATCTCAGCGGTTAGGTTCATGTTTTGCATGCAGAAGGTACCAGGTTCTGCTGAGGGATTCCTCTTTGAAAACTGGTGAGCCATTGCCAGTCAGCATCGATAATCCTGGCCTAGATGGACTTAACAGTCTGCCTTGCAAGAAGGCAGCTCCCATGTCCCCATCTTGCCCTTTCACCCAGCGACAGTGCCAAGTGCACATCTGGTTTCTGGGAAAGAGCTGCATGCTGGTAGCTCGTTCAACAACCAGTTCAGCAGGCCGGAAGCGCGACTCATTAGGAAACAGGGATCACAGTGGGGGCTTTTCCACGCTCACCATTTATAGTGGTCTGGCAGCTGTTTGATCCAACGTTTTCAAGAGTGAATTTGTAGCTGCCCCGGCTGCACTTTTGGTCACACATTGCCATTATTAGACTGCGAGTGTGGGGTTTTCCTTTCCACACTAATGGCGGGTTGTGCCCAAGTTGAGAAATGTTCCGTGTCCGTTAGTCACTCCCCTTGTGTACTCTTGTTCTCCTCCAGCCCAGTACACATTGGAGTTAGGAGCATGCTTCCTTTGGGTATATATGTTTAATGCTCAACAGCCCTGTATGTCATAATAATAATATTTTTTTATTTATACCCCACCCTTCCTGGTTCAGGAAACCAGGCTCAGGGTGGCTAACAACAAGTTAAAAATACTTAATTGATGCTACATAAAAACCCAGCATAAAATATGGTATAAAGCGTAAATAACAATAAAATCAAAAATCAATTTAAGGGGGAAATCCATCCAATAAACATTAGATGATCACTAGGGCTAGCTGGCTAAATTAGTCCCATTTGGGCCAGCGAGGAGACCAGGGGAGAACCAGCTGTGGGATCCCAGAGTGGGCAATCTTCACAGAAAGGGGAGGGGGAGGGAAGGAAGGGGAACAAAAGATCAGGCCAGGTTCAAATTGAAAGCCAGGTGGGATAGTTCTGTCTTACAGGCCCTGCAGAAGGAAGTTAAATCCTGCAGGGCCCTGGTCTCATGGGACAGAGCATTCTACCAGGTCGGAGCCATCACTGAGAAGGCCCTGGCCCTGGTGGAAGATAATCTAACTTCCTTAGGGCCCGAGACCTCTAATCTATGATTATTCATGGACCTTAAGGTCCTCTGCGGGGCATACCAGGAAATTAGAAAAAGAACCACGTTTGTGCCTGAGCTATGGAAAACCTGGCTACTGTGATGAAATTTTGTCTGCAGCTAATGACTGCTGTCGTGGGCAGGTCTTTGAGTCAGGACCATCATCTCTCTCTCTCTCTCTCTCTCTCTCTCTCTCTGCCATCTCTTTTCTTTGAGCTGAGATCACAGACCACTTGCACAGGTCAAAGGGGAAGGGGTGCAAGACAAGAGTCTCCTAAACCACACCCAACAACCCCTCCTGCACAGAAACTGGGACCATGATTGGCACATGCCACACAAATGGAAACAGCGAGGTTCCCTCACTGCGAAAAGCTAAGCTACAGGGAACCAGGCAGAGGGCCTTCTCGGTAGTGGTGCCTGCCTTGTGGAACGCCCTCCCATCAGATGTCAAAGAAATAAACAACTACCTGACATTTAGAAGACATCTGAAGGCAGCCCTGTTCAGGGAAGTTTTTAATGTGTGGCATTTTAATGTATTTTTAATCTTCATTGGAAGTCGCCCAGAGTGGCTGGGGAAACCCAACCAGATGGGTGGGGTACAAATAATAAATTACTATTACTATTCCAGATCTCTCCCAAAAGTTTGATATTTATTTTATTTTATTTTATTGCAAGAGAAAGAAATGGATTTTTGGAGTATATTGTTCTGGAACCATGCCATTTTTTAAAAAAACAAAAAAACCAGCAACTATATCACTATAAATGGTAAGTTTGGAAAGGCCCTTAGACCAGGGGTCAGCAAACTTTTTCAGGAGGCCAGTCCACTGTCCCTCAGACCTTGTGGGGGGCCGGACTATATTTTGAAAAAAAGAAGAACGAATTCCTATGCCCCACAAATAACCCAGAGATGCATTTTAAATAAAAGGACACATTCTACTCATGTAAAAACACCAGGCAGGCCCCACAAATAACCCAGAGATGCATTTTAAATAAAAGGACACTTTCTACTCAGGTAAAAACACACTGATTCCCAGACCGTCCATGGGCCGGATCTGGCCCCCGGGCCTTAGTTTGCCTACCCATGGCTTAGACTCACAACCTTCCAACATTTTGATTCACCGGGGGGGGGGGGGTGGCCACATAATTCACTTCAGGGTGGTAGCTTTTCAAGACATCCAAATGCACCTGAATTCATTGAATCTATAGCTGGAAACTCTTCCAATGGTACAAAAATGTCACATCTCATTTTTTGCTCCCAGTTATTATTATTTTAAGTCTCTTAACTAATAGATAAAAAGTCTTAACAAGTCTAACATACAGATGACCCAAGAGGAACTGCACAAAGGCTTAACACAGAGATAACCCAAGAGGAATATCCTTCCAACTAAGAGCCTGGTCACCAGGAACAGCCAACTTCCTTTGCAAAGAACCCAGCATGGTGCTTTGACGTCCCAGTGAGCAGCTGATTGTCGGGACTCTAAAGCGCTTCATCACTCATTGTAATGCCAAGTGACTGAACAAGAGGCGTTCATGCCACCCTGTTATATTTAGCCCGAGGTGGGGGATAGATTTAGGGGACAGAGGATGTGGTCTGCTGGCCTGATCCAATTCCCTAAGCCACATTAGAACTCTTGGGAACACCAGTAAACACAGATGAAAATATTCCATGTGCCAAGCACCAGCAGAGTATGGCACTGTATCTTCAGATCAGCAAATATAGGGAGTGTCAATTTCAGCCTCTCTCAATACTGTTACAACTCTGTGAGGCTCTATGGGCATACATGGAACTATATATGCAACAGCACCATGGAAAGAGAAAAGGTGCTCAAATATTGCTCCCCAGATCAGTATTCCCAACATGAACTGAAATAATCAATCAACTCGTTTTTCAAGATATTTGGGATCTCTCTGTTGCATGAGAGAAGCAAATCTACTAAAAATATCTCTCGAAAGCATCAGGCCAAAGGCTTTGATCTGAGAGAGAAAAAGGCAGTGCTGCATTTCCTTCCGTAGGCACCAGGCAGGCCCTTTGAAACTACTTTTGTTTCTCTATAAAACAAATTATCAGGAAGTGGCTGAAACCCCCCTCCCTCCTCACCTCTCATACACATAAACAGTGAAGACGAGAAGAAAAACTTGGTTCCTATCCAAGTGTTCTTGTAAAGTTGATGCAATTACAGGGATACCTCGGGTTAAGAACTTAATTCGTTCTGGAGGTCTGTTCTTAACCTGAAACTGTTCTTAACCTGAAGCACCACTTTGGCTAATGGGACCTCCCGCTGCCGCTGCACCATTTCTGTTCTCATCCTGAGGTAAAGTTCTTAACCCAAGGTGCTACTTCCGGGTTAGCGGAGTCTGTAACTTGAAGCGTCTGTAACCTGAAGCGTATGTAACCTGAGGTACCACTGTACTCTTCAGAGTCAAGGTAGCCCAAAGCCCCTTTGCATCGAAACAATATGGGTGGAGAAACCTGACAGGTCAACCCAACCTGAGAACTGGCAACTCAAATGCAGCTCCCCCAGCCAGCTATTGTGGCCTGCGAGGTGCATGGCAATCTCTCCTCTCCTCCCCATCCCAATTCTTGCATTTCTAGGTAGGAGGCAACAAAAGAAAGAAAGGGGTTTTTAGAACATTTGGCTGCATTTGGCTTGGTGCATCTCCAGTTGTACAGACCTGTTTTAGGAGACTGTAGCCAGGCTCACAGACACCATGTTTCTGATTCCCATTATCTACCACTTTTCTATCCTGGCATAACTCTTCCAGGAGAACTGATTCCTTTTATCCTCCCAACAACCTTAGGGCTGCCATACATCTGGAATTTCCCGGACACAGCCAGGATTCGGCTCTCGTAAACAGCGTTCGGGGGGAAATCGCTGAAATTCCAGGAAAATCCAGCAACACGTGTCGGAAGTGTAGATTTTGGCAAGTTTCCTTAAAAATAGCTCAAAACTTCTTTTCTTTTTTGAGATTTTGGGCAAAAATTTTAAAAAGCTCAACAACTTTTGTGTTTTTGAAATATGGCAGATAAGGAGACATCAACTTGCTCAAAGCTACCTAGGAAACCTCATGGCACAGATAGGCATTTGAACCCAGATCTCCCGAGTCAAAGAGTCTACCATTACACCTATCTCTCACCAGTAACAGGGCTTTCAGACATAGGGCTGTATCCAGCAAACTTCTACACAGAGTAGAGCCAACGAAATGAAGGGACACAAACCAGCCCATTAACTTAAGAGGAACTATTCTGTGTAGGATTAGCACAGAATACTGCCACCTGTTGCATGTAAAAATAAAAAGGAAAATGGAGTCGTTAAGAAGTCAAAGATATTTACATATCCAAGAGGGAGGCATTCCATATCAAACAGTACCGGGTCTACTGTTCACTTGTCTAGTGTTGCCATTTTTTAAAAAAAATACTTACAAATTCTGTGAGGGCGAATCTGCAGCAGGAATGCACAGATACTTCACTCCCTGCATAAAAAAAAATATAAATATATCAAGGAAGAGAAAGTGCACACACATTCAAAGAATGTCTTCTTTCACTTTATTGGTGCTGCTCCCGGGAAGCCATTTTAAGACCTGGTTTCATCGGAGCACGATCACAAACCACCACGTACCCAGACGTCAAAGTGAATCTTGGCGGTGCAAACATGACCTCCAGCCCTTCTGCTGCATTTGTCATTTTAACATGCCTTGTTTATCCTGCAATGCTATAAATTGCTAATGTGCTATCTTACACAATTTACCGCTTTCTTAAAATGAATGTAGATTAAGTAAGTATGCATTCAATGTTGGTTGGGGAAGGCTGTTACTACTTGCAGTGCTATACTGAATTCGTTAAATAAGTAATGGAAAGCATGGGTATAACTTTTTAATAGATGTTTTCGTTCTCAAGATTATTACAGTGCTGAGCTGAATGAAGCCTTCCCTCCCCACAAATAAAACGTATTCTTAATCAGTCCTCACCAAAATAATTCAATCTCAGACAGAGTTAGAAGTGGGCGTCTCGGTAGAAAGAGACAGAGAAACCTAAGCTAAAAATTGCTTCACTATTTCCATTCTACTGATTTCATAATGGGAAATTAAAAGAAACTTTATTGGATGTTAATGACAATATGAATTAAAATGTAAAATACAATCAAGGTAACCAATTGTATCTGTAAATGAATATAGACAAACAACAAGATGTGTATATACAGAAAAATTTATTTTTATATAGACACTGTATGGATAAAGTTGAAAGAAGAACAACAATATACAAAATCAATAAAGACAATGCGAAAAACATAGAGACGACATTAAAAAGCTAGAAGAAGGAAGGAGGGAAGTCAACTCATAGGAGTAAATGTAAATGTAAATATAAATGTAAAGTAATGTGTATCTGTATAGTATGCAATCATAAAATCAATAAAGATTATCTTAAAAAAAAATTTGCTTCACTAGATATGTATAACTCGTGGAAGCGTCTCATCTAGTCCAACATTTCAACAGCAGCCAGTCAGACAACTTTGAAACTTCAAAAGCTGGGCACAAAGGTGATACTCCCTCGCTCACTGGAAGCCAACTTAAACCAAGACAGACCTTTGACCAATCTTATAGATTGGTCTGTAGAACTGGAAGGGACTATCTTGCTAAGTGTTGCATATATAGAATGACATCTCTCTACAGCATCATTCCTTCCTTGGTATCCTCCAAATGAATTGGACTACAACTCCCATAAGCACCAGGCAGCACAATCAAAAATGTATGGGGGGCACCAGGTTGGGGAAGGGTGCTCTAGGGCAGGGGAAGCCAATATGGTGGCTTCCAGATGTCGTTGGATTCTCGGTTCCATCAGCCCCAGCCAGCATGGCATGGGACGATGGGAAAAGTTGTCCATCAACATCTGGAGGGAACCAGGATGCTCCAAGGCCAGGGTAGCCAACATGGTGCCCTCCGAATGTACAGTGGTACCTTGGGTTAAGAACTTAATTCATTCTGAAGGTCCGTTCTTAACCTGAAGCACCACTTTAGCTAATGGGGCCTCCTGCTGCCGCCGCACAATTTCTGTTCTTATCCTGAAGCAAAGTTCTTAACTCGAGGTACTACAGTGGTACCTCGGGTTACATACACTTCAGGTTACATACGTTTCAGGTTACAGACTCCGCTAACCCAGAAATAGTGCTTCAGGTTAAGAACATTGCTTCAGGATAAGAACAGAAATCGTGCTCCGGTGGCGCGGCAGCAGCAGGAGGCCCCATTAGCTAAAGTGGTGCTTCAGGTTAAGAAAAGTTTCAGGTTAAGAACGGACCTCCGGAACGAATTAAGTACTTAACCCGAGGTACCACTGTATTTCTGGGTTAGCGGAGTCTGTAACCTGAAGAGTCTGTAACCTGAGGTACCACTGTAGATGAATTATAACTTTCATCAAGCCTGAGCATTGGCCATGCTGACTGGGGGCTGATGGGAGTTGGGAGTCAAACAGCATAAGGAGAGACTTGGGCAATGGCCCTAGGGTTCCTTACAGTGGTTTCCTCCAGACCCACATAGAGATTCATCTCCTCCTGCTTGCAAAGCATATGCTCTCCTGCAAAACTCTTGCCTTCCCCATCTCATATGTTCCTTTTTTTGTGTGTGGGATTCCACCACATGCAGGTTGCACAATAGCTTGGGCAACAAATCCATTCCCCTTGCCCACAAAACTAGACTTCTCTGCAATGAGGCTGGTGCGGAAGAAATGCATTGGAAACTACAAGGTAACAACTACTTGATGGGACGTTGTGTAACCTGCCTGCGAACAAATGCTCAGTGAACAGTGGGTACTGTGTGAGCCCCCCACAAATTCTGTGCGAACGCACCAGAATCAAAGCTCACAAGTCACCTGGAAGCGGCTTTAGTGTTGCACTGCTGCAGAACAAGAAGATAGCTTTCATTTTGCATTGCCACTGATGGAGCCAGTAAGAAATCCTCGAAAGAACAGCCCTGCCCTTGCACTTATAACACACAGCTAAGGGACGCGGGTGGCGCTGTGGGTTAAACCACAGAGCCTAGGACTTGCTGATCAGAAGGTTGGTGGTTCGAATCCCCGTGATGGGGTGAGCTCCCGTTGCTCGGTCCCTGCTCTTGCCAACCTAGCAGTTTGAAAGCACGTCAAAGTGCAAGTAGATATATAGGAACCGCTCCAGCGGGAAGGTAAACAGTGTTTCAGTGTGCTGCTCTGGTTCGCCAGAAGTGACTCAGTCATGCTGGCCACATGACCCGGAAGCTGTACACCGGCTCCCTCGGCCAATAAAGCGAGATGAGCGCCGCAACCCCAGAGTCGGCCACGACTGGACCTAATGGTCAGGGGTTCCTTTACCTTTATCTTAAGCGCATTACTTAAAGTCTACGCTTATTTTAGCTATGAATGCTAAACCTGCTTTACTGCTTCAATCTAAATGCCACTGCTTAAAAACAAGATTTGCAAGAATTGTCGTCCCCCCCCTTTCCATGCTTTATTAATTGAAAATTGTATAACAGAAATTATCATTAGATGTTGAAGACAGCATAAAAAGTAACAAAAGGAAAAAATTCTGCAGTCGTTCATTCCTCAGTTATTTTCTTTTTACATCTTTTTGCAATTGATTTCAACGTGACCTCTGATCTTCCCATTATGTTCCCAGATTGTATTTCTTGGATGCACACTTAACTTTATTTTCTCCATGTTGTTTGACTTACTTTAAGTCTTCTAATATTATCCTATTCACCTACAGAAGTTCAATCAATACCTGCCAACGGATTAATATTTTGACAATGTTCTTTTACATAAACTCTATATATGTCCCACTCTCTGATAAATTTTTCATCTGTAACATCTTGTAACCTCGCTGATAGTCTCGCTAGTTCAGCATACTCTCTGAGTTTATTTTGCCAGTCTTATTTGGATGGGATATCTTCTCCCTTCCAGCCTTTTGCAATTGAAATTCTGGCAGCAACTGTAAGATACATAAAGACTCTCCTAAACTTTTTGGGAATTTCATTACCCATAATTCCTAGCAGGAAGGCTTCCGGCTTTTTAGGGAAGGAGCATTTGAACATTTTCTTCTGCTTGTTATAAATCATTTTCCATTTTACAGTTCCACCACATGTGGATCCATGTGCCTTCGGCCTCCCTGATTTGCAAGAATTGTTACACACACACACACACACACACACACATATATATTGCAGGGCTTATTTTGCAGTCATAGTTGAGCAAAAGCAGAATCCTTACTGTGCACACCCTCATGCAAGTTGTCTAAGAATTGTCCCAAAATGACCTCCAATTGTCAGCAAGCCACTGTTCTAGTGCATATATTCTATCTATCATCATCTATCTATCTATCTATTTTTGATATGTATACATTACATTCAACAACAACAAATTTTGCTGCTTATTATGCAAGCAGACTTCATCGGGGGTTTTGTGGCTAAGTGTGGACGACTAAAGGAAACCTGGCTGCAAGAGAAAAAGGGAAACGACAGCCACCAGTGTAACTGATTCAAGGTGCAGATAATATCAAAGGCAAGGTTGGTGAATACATGGCAGTGGGGTGAATGGAAGACCCCGCCGATTCCACCTGGTCTTTGAATCACATCCTCTGCAGGTCCAATTTCAATGATTCTGTGATTCTGCGAACAACTTCATCCAATCTGCATTGAATTTCACAATATAAAGAGCAGGATAGATGCATAAAAATTGGGTTACTTACGTATGGTGAGGGAAGCAGCAACAAACATAGTTACCAGGCATGAGCAGTTTCATGCAAATTCCCAATTTTGTGTAGGCATCTTCTAAGTAACACCGTAAAAAACCACCTGTCTTATCACAGGTCATCATGACAAGAACCTCACCCTGAAACTTACTACATCAGGGTTGCATACCCCACAACTGTCCCAGAAAAACAGGGACATCCATTTTTCCCTGCGAGAGCATGGTGGATATTTTGGGCACCATGGTCTCATGTGATTTCGGGGTGTCCTCTCACCCCCCAAAAACACCATCTCACACATTTTGGGGCACTATGCCTGAAAAAAAGCTTTGGGGGGGCATGATCTTGTGTGGTGCCCAAAAATGCACTTTTTGGGTGCAGTGTCCAAAAAAGTGCTTTCTTTGGGACTGCAATCTCACGCAGGTCACATGACTCACATGGGAGTGCGGCCCTGGAATATGGCATTCTCATTTTTCCTGACGTCATATTAGAGGTTATGGGGTTGCTGGCATAATATCTAGAGTGGGAAATCAACCAACAAAAACCAAAAGTCAGTCAAAATACAAGTAGGCCAATTTCTTCAAATTCCAGTGCCTTCGAAAAGGCGTGCATTGGAAGCCAATAAATTCATTTTCCTCTCAGTTTTCTATTTCATCAGACAAGAGTAACCACAAAGAGAAGCTTTTTTATTTCTTTTTAGGCCCTGAAAGTCAAGCGAACTGTTAAACCGATACAAAGGGAGAGTTAACAAAACTAGCGCAAGTATTCAGATTTCAAGATTGTCATAGCTGAAAGAAGCAAGAGTTCAGCTCTGCAGAATATCTGATATTCGCTCTTATTACTCTAACAGCCATCATGCTGGTACCAGGTCAAGATGCTGGAAAATTCTGATGCTAGGTAAATTGCCTCACCAGGGCTTTGCCCAGATAAAAACTACTCACTCAATTTTACATTTTAAAGAAAAGCTGTCATCAAATTTTACATATATTTCAGATTTTCCAAACCCATGTATTCGTTTTCAGTTAACAGGAAAATCATGACCGTAAGTATTTTAAGCTAGTTAACAGATTTGCTCATGAAACCCACAATGAGTTCTACATTTATATAGAAAATACAAATAAAAATTGTATAAAGAAAATGCTTTAAAATTTCTAGGGCATGGAACTGAATAGCTGGTTATCGCTTTAGAAAGGTATTTTAGCCTCTGTTTTAACACTCTAGAGAACCGACAACAATTTGAAAATTCTGCTTCACAATTTTGTTAGCCACATAACACCACTTCTGATTCTGAAGGAGACAGACCACTCAGTAATTGTTGTTGTTTTTAACTAAGTCCCAATTCTTGTTCATTTAAAAGAATAAAGAATGAGCAAACACAGAATAGTAAGATCAAAATCTCCAGAATTTACAATAGCAACTTGCATTCAATTGCTATAAATGAATCTGAACAACAGATTTTTAAAAAATCTTTACTTTCAAAGAAACTTAAATGAAACAGATGTCCACATTAAAGATCATTAAATGAATTGTTTCATTCTTAGATGCACATTCTCAGCGAAAAGAATACTTATTCAAGTTCTTTAAGCTAGTAATCCAAGTACTCTAAATTTGTGGTGAAAGAAGAAAATGTAACCATCTACTTTTAAGTACATTCTATCAGCTACATGCTGTTCAAACAAATTTAGGATCAGATATTTAATTCCCCTGATCTAACACCAATCTCCCGTTTGAAAGTTTGCTTTGAGACTTCAGAAACTTTGAAACTTTAGATGCCTGTCTTCTCGGAGACTTATGAATCATCATCTTTTTTAAATGGAAAGGGCAATAACCAATCAGGACTTTTGAGCTGTCCTAAATGACCACAAATTTCTAGGCTGAAATTAAGCAGTTTAAAAAGAAAGAAAGAAATGCCTTATTTTTGGCATTGAACTTCTCGGTATTTAAATTTATGTAAACCTTTCAACGACAGCTTCCAAGAAACACTTTAAGAGCCAAAAACAAAACCCTGGGGCACCTCATTTTGAAGGAAGATGCAAATAAAAACCCTCAAACACCTGGCAAGTTCTTTCAGGTTAGCCCAGAAAAAAACCCCCCATGTGTTATTTTGACTTGCCACATCAACAGATGAGGGGTGGACATACCTCTTTCGAATGAGAGGCATTTCATCAAAACGGCTTAATTAGGAAACAGTTGGTTTCTCAAGGTTTTCTCGAGCACAACAAGAGGTTATCAAGAGTTCTGCCCAGTACAGCTAAAGAACCGCTTCGGGGGAGAAGGGGGAAAAAATCCCCCCAGTAATTTGTTTATTTGTCCTTTCAGTTGCTTTAAGGAGCAGTCGCCCAAGTACAGTACAAATGCTCATGACTCATTTTATTATTGAAAATATTCAAAAGTTTCAGCAATAAGCAAAGCCATTTTGCCGTTATTTTATCGTTGAAATATTTGTTGAAAACGCATGAGGGAAACAGGCTGTGCAAAATTCAAATACAAGAAGGCAACCAAATAAGGTGGATTGTGCAATTGCTTCCGAACTCAAGAGAATAACCGACCAGGACATGTTCCATTCTACCACTAATAAAAGTGGTCGTTGAATCACACTCTTAAGATTGAATTTGCTTCAGAAATGCCCTGACCATCATTGAGCATTGTTCCTATTGACCTCGCCTTACAAAAACAGATCCTCATGCAACTGAATTACTGGTGTTGAGAACCAAAATATGAGAAACATTAAAACTCCAATGGTAAACTCTTGAACTAAAACTTCTTCAGGCGAAGTCAAAATGATCATTTCAAGTAAACCTAATGCTTCTCTGAAGAGATCAGTGGAACCTGGGCTTTCCCCAGATTCCAAGCAATTGTTTTCAGATCACGATTCTGTTTGATTCTTTAACGCTATGAGGGCACAGACTACAGAAGAGGCAGGGGGGTGTCCTGCCCTCAGCTTGGAGAATAAGAATTAAAATTCAAATGTGCTTAGTAACAGGGAAACTGATCAACCCATCAAATGAAATCCGATAGTGCTTCACACATAGAAAGATCTCAAATTCAAAACAGAGAAACATTTAACTAGCCAGTACTATGAAACCTCTGAATCTTAAAAGCCACAAATTTGACAGTAAATTGATAAAACGGATCGAGGTATGATGAAATTTACAGCACCATTCCCCGCAGAATTGCAGCTGTGAAGAGGTCAACAAAATTGCCTCCCAGATTTTTTCAGTCAATTCATAAAGTATTAAGAGTGAACAATCATCCCTATTGTAATCTGGAACAAATCCAAGTCAATTTCTTATTGACTATTTTTTGAAGATATACATGCACAACTCATGTGAAACTAGCCTGCCAGAAGCATATAGGTGGAATGGTGTTGTTTTTTCTTAGCAGAGTTTTGTAAAACGTGAACTTGCTGTGAAAATTTACCCTGTAAACTCTGAAAGACATGTTAGTCAGAGTGCCCTTGTGCCTTTAAATTTGGATCTTCTTAAAAGTGTGCATCCACATCTAAAAAGAAGAGATGACAACTCCCACTGATTTTTAAGCTCAGTGCTATCCAAATCAATCCATCTGTACTATACAGTTAAAGAAGTATCTTGCCAGCCATGACTTCCTCCAAAGAATCCTTTTTAGGGTGCTGAGTGTAGGAGATTCCTATTCCTCTCGCAGAGCTACGATTTCCAGAGTAGTTTAACAATCAACTCCTCTTCCCAGGGAACTATGAGAACTCTGGCTCTGACCATGGAATTGGTGTTGGGGGGTTCTCCTAACAACTACCAGCACCCTTAAACTAAAATTCCTAGGATTCTGTAAGGGAAGCCAGGGCTGTTTAACATAACATGGTACTGCTTTAAATGCATAGTGCAAATGGAGTCTTTGTCGCCGATCACAGAAAATTCAACTTTCCAAGTGGATGGCAATATATGTCAAGAAAGAAGAAACCCAGCCCATTAAGCTTGCCAAATCTGTTACACACCAAATAACCACAGTGTAAACTAGACTTTCAAACTGAGCAAACTTTCTCGCTGGCGGGGTGTGTGTGATTAATTGTGATATTATGCTCTTGGCCGTAAATTTCAACCTTTCTGAATGTTGCCATCCAAAGACAGGCCTCTCCACCCCCCTTGCAAGCAAGCAAGATGGATTATCACAGCCCAAGGATCCTAACCCAAGTCCTGTGAAAACAGATGGGGGAGAGAGCTTCTGCATCATCCGTTGTCCAGGATATTGCTCCGCCATCAAACAATTGCTCCAATTCAGCACTAAAGATTGGGTTTCCCCTGGGGAAAAGAGGGGGGACAAGGGGAAGTCTGAATGAACCCATAGATTGTTTCCCAGCTGAACCTGGGAAGTCGGCAAGCAAACTGTGAGGGCAACTGGGAGCTTTGCCCTGCTCCTGACCAGGATCCTGAAGCTGCCCAGGAGCAGTGGAGCAGTATAGATTTGGAACGGTGGTTTGCAGAGGGGCATAGTTCGGAAGACAAAAGTTGGGGCGAACTGGGAGGTGGACAGCAAGGTGAAGAAGAACTGGAAGAGAGAGATCTAACAGACTCTCTCTGGCTGGAAAGTGTCCAGCCTATCAGTCCAAGGTCACATAGAGCAGATAAGGTGGCGATACAAAAACGGGGGGGTTGCGAGATCAGGTTCCAAGACAGAAGTGACTAGGGGGAAGTGGGAACACCTTTGTGCTTTGTTCTTTTGCTGTGATCATTAAAGACTCTTTAATAATAATAATAATAATAATAATAATTTATATCCAGCCCTCCCCAGCCAAAACCGGGCTCAGAGCAGCTAACAACAGTAAAAATAACACAGTTTACATCAAATCACAATCAATTAATTGAAATACATTCTAAAATCAACTCATTCTAAAATCAACTCAGAGTCAAATTAATGGCAACCATTGGGCTAGAGTTCTATGAGGATTGCAGAAGGAGAGAGGGTGTCAGACTGTGCCTTGGCCAAAGGCCTGGTGGAACAGTTCCGTCTTGCAGGCTCTGCGGAAAAATGTCAAGTCCCACAGGGCCCTAGTCTCTTGTGACAGAGTGTTCCACCAGATTGGGGCCACGGCCGAAAAAGCCCTGGCTCTGGCAAGGGACTCTTTTCGCTTTGTCTTGCTTATCTACAGCCAACGGTGGGGGGGGGGGAGCCAAGTCCCCGGAGCCTGACAGATCAGGTGAAAGCCAGGTGACAGTGCCCACGATGCACTGACCATTGTATGAGGCAAGTTTAAAACACCATGATGGAGTAATGTAACGGGGAGTTTAAGAGAAGGCTGTGGCGAGGGAAGCGATGATGGCTCAAGCTGTAGCAGCTTTCTTCCCTTACCTCCAGCATGGGCCTGGCGCTGTCATGGATCGAAAGAATGTGCGTTATGTTGTTCTTTTTCAGCTGTTCGGTGTCACGAGCATCTGTGGAAAAGGAGACCAGGGAGGAAAAGCCATTAGCACAGTCAGCCATATTTAACTCAATTATCAGGTACCACCACAAAAAGCATAACTTTGAAATGTGCTCCCCTCCCTATTAGCAGTGGATTGCTGAGCTACAAAGAAGAGAAGCTTTCCTGAGCATCAGCTGCTACACAGAAGCACTGACTGGCTACTTAATGGTCTTAAGAGAGCCAGTGTGGTGCAGTGGTTAAGAGCAGTAGACTCATAATCTGGTGAACCGGGTTCGTGTCTCCGCTCCTCCACATGCAGCTGCTGGGTGACCTTGGGCCAGTCACACTTCTCTGAAGTCTCTCAGCCCCACTTACCTCACAGAGTGTTTGTTGTGGGGGAGGAAGGGAAAGGAGAATGTTAGCCGCTTTGAGACTCCTTCGGGTAGTGATAAAGCGGGATATCAAATCCAAACTCCTCTTCTTCTTCTTCTGTCAACAACAACAGTGTGCTGTGCTGACTAGAGTGCTGGGAGTAAGACAGCGGAGACCCGGGTTGAAATCCCCACTCACGAATGAAGTTCGCTGGGTGAGCTGGGCCCAGTTACGTTTTCTCAGCCTAACCTACCTCACTGGGGTGTTGTGGGGAGAGAACAATGGGTGCCGACTTGAACTCCTTAAAGGGACGGGAAGATATAAATGCTATAAATGGATTGTGCTGGGTGAGTTCTTTTTTGGGGGAAGTCAATGGCTCTTTTACAACCAGACATACATGATCACGAGAATTGTCACCGTATCACAAATTGGCTCAGGCACCTTTAAAAGCTGCCTAATAGCTCAAAATTCAGCAGTCACAATCTTTGTCACCAATCACAGCATCTCCATGCTGGGGGGGGGGGGGTGGACAGAGAAAAGCTTTTGAACGCATAAACTGGAGAAGGATGTTTTCTGAAGAAGGGAAAATCCCTGGCATCTCCCATTATAAACCACGAGCCCCAAAAGCAGTTCATTTAATGGAAAGTGCTGCTCTGTAGATGTTCAGTTAATCTTCTTAATCATTTAAACAAACAATTCATGTCACAATGAGGAGAATAGAGGGGGAAGGAATCTAGATTTATCACCAATTACGACCTTAAAAGTTGGACATTAGACGTCAAAGTAAATGGAGGGGGGGAGTGAATTCTAGGCCAGTGGTACTGACTCCTGGTTCATTTCCAGGCTCAATTCAAGGTACTGATTTTACATTTTAAGTCCTAAATGCACCCACCTCTCCAGCTACTGAGCTCTCCCCCAGAGGACCTGGTGGGGATCTCTCCTAACTTCACCAAAAAAAAGGCCATGGGTTGTTTAATTAAGACTTTATAGGTCAAAACCTAGAAATATACTCATGCTGTGACGCGGGTGGCGCTGTGGTCTAAACCACTGAGCCTAGGGCTTGCCGATCAGAAGGTGGCAGTTTGAATCCCCGTGATGGGGTGAGCTTCCGTTGCTCGGTCCCTGCTCCTGCCAACCTAGCAGTTCAAAAGCACATCAAAGTGCAAGTAGATAAATAGGTACCGCTCAGGCGGGAAGGTAAACGGCGTTTCCGTGCACTGCTCTGGTTCGCCAGAAGCGGCTTAGTCATGCTGGCCACATGACCTGGAAGCCGTACGCCAGCTCCCTCGGCCAGTAAAGCGAGATGAGCGCCGCAACCCCAGAGTCAGCCACAACTGGACCTAATGGTCAGGAGTCCCTTTACCTTTAAAGGGAAGAAAGGTATTGCTAGCCTCCTATATACCGTACCGTAAAACGGCACCCAAAATACATGCATTGAAGATTTCTTGCAGGAAAGAATTCATGGGCGATAAGACTATCAGTGGCTACTAACCCTGTTGGATACCTCTACTGTTTGGACACAGATGCTTCTGAAAACCATTTGCTGGGAACGAAGAGAGTCCTCGTTTTTTTAAAAATATATCTTTATTAAAGATTTCTTGGTTTACAAAAGCATGTGCAACGTCCCTTTTTCCAACTTACATTTTCTACAGATCAGTTTCATTTGTTGAGACATTTGTATTACATTAGGACGAAAAGGGGGAAAGAGGTGGAGGGGGGACTGTTGAGTGGGGGTGGGGTCCGGTGGCAATGCTTGTTTTCTACTTAGTGTATGTGTGAGGCTTTGTGTCAGTGTCACTTGAGCGAGTTCTCTTTACTATTCGCTTGTATTCCTTTGGTGGTGAAAGAGGTTGGCCTAGGGTGTGGTTGGTTGTCTTTGATTGGGTCTAGTGAAATCTGCTTTTGTGTGTGAGTGGGGTGTGGGTCAGGTTAGCCAGACTGATTTGAATGCTGTCGGCGGGTTCTTGTCATTATCTTGTTGGGCTGTGTATGTGATAAAGGGAAACCAAACCGGGGTGAAGGCGTCTTCTTCTATTTGTCCCCGTGTCAGTTTCAGTTTGTTGGCGAGTTTTTCTAATAAGGCTGTTTCCCATACTATTTGGTACCATTGGTCTATGCTTACTCCTGACAGGTCTCTCCAGTGTCTAGCTATGATGCTTCTGGCTGATGAGAGTAGGTGGTTTATGAGTTCTTTGTGTTATGAGTGGGCATTATTGTCTTGGAAAATGTTGAATAGGGCCAGTTCTGGGGTGACTTCTAACACTTGCTTAGTTATTTTACATATTTCTTGTATGAATGATGTCCAGAAGAGTTGGATTTTGGGACATTCCCACCACATGTGGAGGTATATACCTGAGAGTCCTCCTTGCAATAATAATAATAATAATAATAATAATAATAATAATAATATTGTGGGCTTCGCTGCTGGACTAGATGGGCCACTGATCCAGCAGGACCTTATGTTCTTATTTACTCATTTATTTGTATATTTTCTTACACTTGTACCATACCTTTCTTCTGCATGGAAACCCAAGTCAACATACACATAGGCTCTAAATGGTGGTGACCCACTGAGGCACTGACCAGACCAAGGCCTGTTGACCTTCAGCAAGGCAGTGACCTCATGTGCTTGCAGACCATACCCGGAAATCTACAAATCTTGCCTAGGTTCTAGCGACACTCAACATTTGAAGTACACATGGGTGTTTTGAGTAGATGTATGCTCCTCTCCTACCTAGCAAATATCAACTTTGGATTTGTGGGCAGCTTGGATTTACAGTCTATGGAAAGTACAGATAGAACCACGGCTTGGTTGTAGGGCATGTGCTTTGCATGCTCCCAAGGACCCATGTTCAACTCCCGGCTCCTGTAGGCAGGGCTCTGAAAGACTCCTGTCTGAATGCAACCAAGAAGAGCCATCATCAGTCAGCACAGAGTCTAGACTGTGTAGACTGTTCTGAGCTAGATGGGAAATGCTCTGACTCAGTAAGGCGCTGGCAGGTTTTTAATGTAACAAAGCTTTGTTTTGTTTTGTTGCTGTGTTATTTGGTGGCCTTGAGGCAGGTGGAGGAGCATGTTATGAGTAGATTCCAGTTTCATGTGGAGAGACCAGAAGAAACCAACTCTCTCATCTTTCTACCCCTTTAGATATCTTCAAATATCTAAAGAGCTGTCACACATAGGATGGAGCAAGCTTGCTTTCTCCTGGTCCCAAACCAATGGATCCAAGTTACAAGGAAAGAGATTGTGACTAAACAACAGGAAGAACTTTCTGACAATAAGAGCTGGGTGCCACATCTTTGAGGGGGAGCGCCACCAGTGACAGGGGCTTTTCCCCCTCATGGTGCCCTGACTATAGAACGCCCTCCCCAAACACGTTCACTCGAGGCCTACTTTGTTTTGAAGTTTTGAGACTTATATACATGCTACAGAATATGCCATTTTTACATCTCATAGAATAAATTTTAGAACATTTCTCCATTCAAGATTTCCCTAATGTCAGTTGGACACTGCCTAAGGATAAACGTGATCCAGACTTGAAGTATCAGTAATTCCAGTGGAACATTGAGGGAGCCAATAGCTGGGGTGAGGAGTTGCGAGCTTCAAATGCACTAGTCTGTTCCTTCCAAACAAGAAAACCGTAAAAACCACAGCAGTTAAAAAGGGGCCTTTCAAATGTAGCCATCTTACATTTTAAGTCCAGAACAACCAAGACAAGAGGAGAGAGTTATTTAGAAATTGGCCTGTGGCGTTCCACTTAGCATGCCGAAACACAACCAACTGTAGATCTTATTGCTGAATTGGGAAGCGTTCCCAGCAGTCGTCCTGGTGAACTAACGGGCAGCTTGCTGAAGGATTAAACTGCCGCAGCTTAACCACCAGCATTTATATATCGCCTCCATAGAAACAGTGGACAACACTTCACAGGCCAACTGACGCAGCAGCCAGCAGAGGTTGCAAGTCAGAAAAGCTGCACAGCTCGAAGTCGGTGGTTAAGTGCTGACTCACTCTGCAATATCAGCCAGCTCCTCTTTGCCTCGACTCAATCACAGAGGGAGAAATCTAAAAAGAACCAAATTGGGAAACAGATACCAGGTCTCGGTTTCGCCGCGCTGGGTGTATTCAACCTTTAGCCACCAAGGTCTCGGTGTTACAGCCGACGAACCTCAGATCAGTTTGTACGTTTGTTTCTCACAAACGCAAAACCACACCACCGTGTTATTTAATCCACATTACTTACCTTCTTCCCATGTTCACCAGTTTTATTCTTTATCCACCATTTAATCGTTTATTTACATTCCCCAAATGACACATTCTTGTCAACTGCCAAAGCACTGAACCAATAAAGGGGCTAAGCTTTTAGTCAAACCTGATAAAAACATAGTGCTGTCAAGGTTACACAACTAAGCCTCTTTGGTTTGAGGCCTGTTTTTGGAACTGTAGAACGATCCTTTTCAGGTATGAACTTAAGCAGTGCTACTCTCCCAAGGTGTGGCTTGGGATGCAGTTGGCAACAGTGTCTAACCCTGCCATCTCTTCCTTGCCGCCCATCCAGACTTTAGGTAAAGGTAAAGGGACAATTAAGTCCAGTCGCGAACGACTCTGGGGTTGCGGCGCTCATCTCGCTTTACAGGCCAAGGGAGCCGGTGTTTGTCCACTTCTGCAGACAGTTTTTCCAGGTCATGTGGCCAGCATGACTAAGCTGCTTCTGGCGAAACCAGAGAAGTGCACGGAAACACCATTTACGGTACCTTCCTGCCGGAGCGGTACCTATTTATCTACTTACACTTTGACGTGCTTTCGAACTGCTAGGTTGGCAGGAGCTGGGACCAAACAACAGGAGCTCACCCCATTGCGGGGATTCGAACCGCCAACCTTTCGATCGGCAAGCCCAAGCTGCACAGTGGTTTAACCCATAGCACCACCCATAGCACCACCGGTCTTTACCTGTTTGAAAATGCCATTACTCTGCCACGAGGCTGAAACTGTACCATGGCCCACTATAACTTTAGAGCAAAAAAGAAGTACTGTATGTCGACATAGGATTTGCCATCGTCATCTCGTTTTCCCTTAAAATGGTTGTGGGCAGAGGTGAAAAGGGAAAGCCTCTCAATCCCTCACTTTTAAAAATTACAATCTCTACTGACGCACAGTCTGGCACTGGTGTTGGTGCAAATATTCCAACATTAGTCACATGTCATAATAAACTACATGAATCGCATGAACAAATCTGGGAAAGGAGGCTGGAAGTTTACCATTACATCTAAATTTAAACTGAGCTTAATCTGAATAATGGATTATTGAATAGTTTAATGAAACAAGCTAACTCCGTAAACTGCAATCTGAAGTTGGTTTGTTTCAGGAAACCGGAGTCAAGTCTTACCACAGTTTGTTGAGGTTTGGCCAATACATAAACTGTGGTTAATTGAAAACAGAAGTAAAAACTTCCAAACTTCTGCACTGCAGGGGGTTGGACAAGATGACCCTTGGGTTCCCTTCCAACTCTACAGTTCTATGATCCTTACAGATCATGCTTGAGCTATGTGGCCCATGCAGGGGAGAGTGTGGCGCTGTGGTCTAAACCACTGAGCCTCTTGGGCTTGCCGATCGGAAGGTCAGCGGTTTGAATCCCTGCAACGGGGTGAGCTCCCATTGCTCTCTCCCAGCTTCTGCCAACCTAGCTGTTCGAAAGCACACCAGTTCAAGTAGATAAATAGGTACCACTGCAGCAGGAATGTAAACGGCATTTCCACGCACTCTAGCACTTGTCATGGTGACCCGTTGCGCCAGAAGCAGTTTAATCCTGCTGGCCACATGACCCAGAAAGCTGTCTGTGGACAAGCGCCGGCTCCCTCAGCCTGAAAGCGAGATGAGCGCCACAACCTCATAGTCGCCTTTGACAGGACTTAACCATCCAGGGGTCCCTTACCTTATACTTCTGTGGCACCAGATGCTGAGCTTGCCCCTAGAGTACCATTTCACATACTACTATGTCTCAGACTTACAGCATGGGCCTCATTCATCCATTCCTCAGCTAATGTCTACAAAGGCTGTGTTGAGCTGAGGAAAGCAGGGTAGCTGAAGACCAAAATGAGTAGGTAGCAGTGATGGAACAGATGTGGGGAACTATCATTCCTGCAGCTCCCTCTCTTCAGGCAATGGGAACTAGCATCAGACTTGCCACTCAGCAAAGCTTCTTCATATTGTTCTGTGAGAACCTGCTGAGCTCTGTCCCATGACCATTTTTATTTTCTTTAATTGGGCAAACCCGAATTTGCCTTCCTCAGATTTTGGAGTGTGCACCATGCTAGCTTCAAATACAAGACTCTATGGGCTGTGGCAATGTACTCTGCACCAAAGGGGAAGGAGTAGGCAGATACCCCACTTGAAAGCTTAGTGGTGATGATCACAAAACCAGACAGGTTTAGGTAGAGACTTGTGTCTCTTTCACATAAGCAACTGTAGGCCAGGGGCAAGGAACCTGTGGTTTTTGATGGCTTTTATTAGAATACAATTCCCATCAGCCATGACATCAGCCAAGGTAGCTCAGCCTGATGGTTAGTCCAACAGTAACAGGAGGTCCACAGGTTTCCTACTCCTGCCTTAGAAGAACCATCCAAAGTTTGGGAGAGACAAAGTAAAAGTAAAATTCCTGACATTCCTGTTCAGCTTTTTTTTAAGGAAGCCCTCCCCCCCAAATAGTGATACATCCAGGTTTTCCCTGACATTTTGCCAATTCAGCAAATCCCCCCCATGTCATTTTTACACCCAAAAACCAGGACATGCCAGGAATTTTCCTGACGTATGGCAAGCCTAGACAAAGCTGTCACACACAGAGAGACACAAAGTTTGGAAGCAAAATGTGGTTGGGCACTATGACTGCTAATGACACTGAACTTACCTTTAAAATTTCCAAGGAACAAGCCAGGAAGAATCTGTGAGACAGAAAGAAATATAATATCAAATGTACATCTCTTGTGGTAACATGATCTGACGCAGTTCAATTTGCATACAGAATGGAACATAACACTGTTTATATCTGCAGAGTCTGGCAACATGGTAAGGGCAGCGTGTTTTTCCTTCCAATCTTCCCCACTTCACTTTGAAGCTTTTTTCTTTTTAGTTTCAGGGTCCCGTAGCTTAACAGCAGTTTAATAAAGGCGGGAGGGGACCAGTAAAAGAAACCTAAACCACTGTTTCTCAAACTCGCGTCTCTAGGGATTTTTTTGGATTACAATTCCCATCATCCCTGACCACTGGTCCTGCTAGCTAGGGATGATGGAAGTTGTAGTTTGAAAACAGCTAGGAAACCCTGCTCTAAACTAAGACTCTATCACTCATTTTACACCAAAAATACTGTAACTTTACTTAAATCAGTAATGGGAATGGCTTCATTTGAAGCTATCTCTGAACTCAGGGCTGGTCCTCAGTTGTCCCTTAGATGGTTTCTGACTTCTTTTGAAGTGTCCTGAACTTAATGACATTACATCTTAATACAGTGATACCTTAGGTTAAGTACTTCATTCGTTCCGGAGGTCCGTTCTTAACCTGAAACTGTTCTTAACCTGAAGCACCACTTTAGCTAATGGGGCCTCCTGCTGCCACTGCACCACCGCTGCACATTTCTGTTCTCATCCTAAAGCAAAGTTCTTAACCCGAGGTACTATTTCTGGGTTAGCGGACTCTGTAACCTGAAGAATATGTAACCTGAAGCGTATGTAACCTGAGGTACCACTGTATAAAGTTGTAGCCATTGGTTTATGTGTCCTTCAGCATGGGTCTTCATCACCATCCACAATCTATCTCTTACACATTTGGAATTAGAGGAAGGAGCAGACACTGGCAGTCCAAGGACCATATCTGAACCTTGAGGGTTTCACTAGGTCTCTATTTGGAAACTTAAGAGGCAAAAGAAATGAGGAGATTGTGGCTGTGGAAACAGGACTGGAGATTATGGGAGACGGGACAACTCTCCATGCCCTCTTCATTATATGGCCATCATATATATATAGATAGCCAGAAATTTTGGGGTTGACCATCCGTGTCCATGGTATGATTTTCAGCTCAGATCTGCTATGAGCTCCCAGCTACGTGGTATCTGCTGGACAAAGGAAGCTATTTGTGTACGGTGGCTTTTGTGGCAGGGGATCTCCAGCCCTTCCGCCATTTTGTAGAGGTGAGGAGGGCACCAAGAGGGTTTGAAGTAACAACCACATGCAAACGAACAGCTCCTGGCCTATAAAGCAGCTCCAATGTCAGATTAGGGTGGTTTTGGTTTGCCCTATTTAAATAGCTGCCAGGGAAGGAGGACACACACACACACAGAGAGAGAACTCACAGCATGTGAAAGAGGAGAAGCTGGTTAAATCTTCTGCCACATGCTGCAGCTCTGATGAATATATACCTCCCCTAAGGTGCCATGGCCATTAGTGGTATCCCCCATATGACTAAATGGGTCACTTGAAGCCGCTTGACAGCCGGGGCTGACCAGTACCTCATTTTTAATCATTCCCGAGTCCTGAACGAAATCCAAACTCAAAGCAAGCAAATGCAAAGAACTGAAAGCCACATGGATCGAGCGTGGCAAGAGGTTATACATCAAAAACCTGCCAGCTTGAACAAAGAATGTGCTCAAGATTTATCCGGTCTCTCATGATCTTTGGCAGACCAGCCCTCTTGTGACAATGACACAGAAAGGGGGGGGGCAGGAAACTTGCTCGTCATTTTAGGAATGTACACAGGCTGATATCAGAGGTATGACAATGGCAAGGAACATGCAACTTGACTTTTTTAAAAAAATAGGCTAGCACCAAGAGGCACATCAATCAGAAGGTCAGCGGTTCAAATCCCCACGACGGGGTGAGCTCCCGTTGCTCAGTCCCAGCTCCTGCCAACCTAGCAGTTCGAAAGCACATCAAAGTGCAAGTAGATAAATAGGTACCACTCTGGGGGAAGGTAAACGGTGTTTCCGTACGCTGCTTTGGTTTGCCAGAAGTGGCTTAGTCATGCTGGCCACATGACCCGGAAGCTGTATGCCAGCTCCCTTGGCCAATAAACCGAGATGAGCGCTGCAACCCCAGAGTCGTCACGACTGGACCTAATGGTCAGGGGTCCCTTTACCTTAAGAGGCACATGCCAGTTAAAGTCACAGGAAGCTTTTCCATGCTCTGTTTCACCAGAGAACCATGACAGCCAGAACAATGCAACCCTCGTACATCACTTATGCTTGCCTCTCTCTGAAGGGACCTGAAGGTACTACGTGACCTGCATATGTACCAAGACATGTGTGGACTAGGGTGCCATCCCCTTTCCGTGTCACAGTTGCCATTCCTCTCACCACAACACTTCTTAGGGCAGGCGGGCCTTTGCACAAGGACCAGGCCACATCACAGTCCTGAGGGATTGTTCAACCAGCAGAGGATGAGACTCTTAATCTCATGTTGGGTGAAAGATTCATGCATTGCAGTTATGCTAGATGATCCTTGTGGTCCCTTTCCAACTCTACAATTCTACAGCTATGATAAATGAGGCTGCACTCTCTTTAACATGTAATAATAACAATAATAAATTTTTATTTATACCCCACCCTTCCCGGTTCAGAAAACTGGGCTCAGGGCAGCTAACAACAAATTTAAAACACTTAATTGATGCTACAAAAAACAGCATAAAATACAGTATAAAACGTGAATAACAATAAAATCAAAAATCAATTTAGGGGGGAAATCCATCCAATAAACATTCGATGATCACCAGGGCTAGCTGGCTAAATTAGTCCTATTTGGCCAGCGAAGAGACGAAGGGAAAATTACCGTAACTGTGGGATCCCAGAGCGGGTAATCTTCATAAAAAGGGGAGGGGGAGGGAAGGAAGGGGAATAAAAGATCAGGCCAGGTTCAAATTGAAAGCCAAGAGGAATAGTTCTGTCTTACAGGCCCTGCAGAAGGAAGTTAAATCCTGCACGGCCTTGGTCTCATGGGACAGAGCATTCCACCAGGTCGGAGCCATCACTGAGAAAGCGCTGGCCCTGCTGGAGGATAATCTAACTTCCTTAGGGCCCAGGACCTCTAAACTATGATTATTCATGGACCTTAAGGTTCTCTGCGGGGCATACCAGGAGAGGCGGTCCCGTAAATATGTAGCACTGCTAATGCACAGGAATTGCCACAAAACAGGCCATGTTGTTTCCATGCCCTTCTCACACTTTGGCCCCTTCGAACCAACGCTAATCTCCCTGATCAGAACTTTCTCTTGATGCATGCCATACTTTTCATATGGTCTCGAACCCTCACTCCATACGATGCCACCACATTAGCACCGCACGTTCTGTGGAAGAGACTGACATGGAGATGATGCTACGTGAGGAGAAAATAGCATGCATTCCCCCATGATTTAGATCACAGTGGCAAAGAGCCACAAGTCGGCATAAGAAGATGCTTGCCTAGTCCCTAAACTTTAGTAGCGGTTCCGCCTGAGAATTATAAGATCCTCATAAATGCACTTCAGTATGCTTTGGTGTTGCCCACTGAACTCCAAAGCACAATGAAATGAAGCCACAAATGGTCTTGATGCATAAAACTCTTTGCCCATGCTTTTGGGGCAAGGGTTAAATACAGGGGAGGGAAGTATTACTTACAACAGGGATAGGGAAACTGTGGCCCACCAGATGTTGCTAGACTACAGCTCCTATTATCCCTGACCATTGGCCATGCTGGCTATGACTGATGCGAACTGAAGTCCAACAACATCTGGAGCATCTCAATTTTCCTGTTCCTGATCTATATTCTTATAGATTTGGGGGAGACCCCCCCAAACCCTAGAAATTAAGAAATTGTACGATTTAAATTATTTGGAGTGTGAAGGGAGAAACAAACTGCAGATGAATTCCTGGGCTACCCTATGCAAAATGACCTGGCCAAGCTAGGGCCATTAAGAAACAAATTAGGCCCATTGAGGGCCATGGGCAATGCAAGAGAACTGTCCTTCCCCCTCTCCCCACCTGAGGAAGGGACAGAGACAGGGGTTGGAAGGTTGCCAAGGTAACTGGGTGTGAGGTGAAAGGAAAAGTCTTGAGCAATGATTGCTGGGAAAAAGAAGAGGGAAGGAAGACTAGGATCCATCTTGGGCAGGTTGGCTGCTGGCTGGCTGGTGTACAAGCCCCTCTTGAAATGACCATGCTGTAAGGTCTGGACTCCCTCCTTGCAGACTGAAGGTGTAAATAGGTAAATAAACCATCTTTCTGAAAGCTGCAACAGTCTCCGCTGTGTCTGGAACCCCATGGGCTCCTGCCACCGCTCGGCAGACAGAGGGGGACGCACCCAACTTTTGTAACAATATCATGGCACATCAGATCCCAGAGGAGGGAAGTACAGTTCAGCAGTAAAGCACAAGCTTTCTATTCCAAAGATGCCAAGGTCAATCCCTCACAACTCCAAGAAGGGCCGGAAGAGACTCCTGCGTGAACCCCTGGAAACCTTGCTACCGGTTCCGTGTGGACAAGAGCATTGGTCTGACTCGGAACAAAGCATCTTCGATGACTTGCCAAAGTTACTGAGGCAGATCCCCGCCCCCAGGGAGCTTACAAGATGAAACAGACAGTGGGGGGAAACCGAAGGTGCAAAGGGTGGGAGAGACCACAGTGTGTGAGAGGAAGAATGTGAGCAAATGCTGCCGATTCCGCTTCAGGGAGGTTCCAGCAGCAGGCGAGCGACTGAGCGCAGCATTATAGACGGGTCAGGCAATGGGCAGGAGCAAACAACAGCCAGATGATCCAATTGTGGCAACAGCAGCTGTCAGCAATCTCTGGGGGTTGCCTTTTGTCAGAAACATTAAGGAAGCGAGTAAGCCTGCCTGGCTTACGAACAAAGGGCTGCGGTGTTTTTGGAAAAATTCAAGTAATCCACTGCTGGCCGATTTCTCTTGCCTACACCATACATGGTTACGGGAAAAGGGTACACACCATTTACCAACTAAGGGCATTGATACCAACAGGCCTGGTCATCTCCAGGGGTGCGTGGCTTTGCAGTTAGCCTCTGAGCTTCTTGCGATAAGTCATTACAGCCCCATCACGGTAATTACGGATGAAAAAGGTGGCCAAAAGCAGCTCACAAGCCCACTCACTCAGCAGCCACTTCCTCTCCTAATTGCACACTTATGACCCCAGCTACAGCCAAACTTGGCTGCTGCTGTTGGGGCCAAGATCTAGCCTGGCAAATCAAAGTACAATGTGGGTGGGACTCTTCATGGACACGCCCACCTTTCCTACTTAGCCCCGCCCACACACTTGGCCAGAGGATCCTATCAATCTATGCGAAGGAAGCCTTTTATGTAAGCTGCATTAAAGGCCATCTCCAAGTACCTTAAATAATAGTAAGTGGATTAGAACCCTAAACCATCTTACACGGACACTTCATTGTGATGGATAGGACTTCCACTTCCATGATGTTCTAAGTAACCCCAGCAGAGTAGTAGAGAATATGCTTTGTACAGAAACAGCCCCAAATTCAAACCCCAGTATCTCCAGAAAGGGCCGGGATATATTCATGTCAGGAACACTGGAAAGCCACTGCCTTTGGGGCCCTAGATGTTGCTGGACTACAACTCCCACCATTCCTAGCCAACATGGCCAATGGTCAGAGATGGTGGGAGTTGCAGTTCAAGAACATCTGGGAACCCAAGGCTGAGAAAGGCTGGTGTAGATAATACTAAGCTGGGTGGACCGATGATCTGACTTAGAATCATAGAATTGTAGCGTTGGAAGGGGCCACAAGTGTCATCTAGCAATGCAGGAATCTTTTGCCCAGCATGAGGCTCAAACCCATGACCCCGAGATTAAGAGCCTCCTACTCGACCAACTGAGCTCCTGATATAAGGCAGCTTCCTGTGTCCTCCTTTTTATTAAGAGAGACATCACAGTGTATCATGAGGTGGGCATGAAGCATATCATCCAACTTCTTGTCAGGCAGACATAACCAAGTCTGGCCAAAGTGTTCTGCTTCTTTCCTCTTCCCCCACGTTGAAAATATCCGGCTTCCTTTTGTCAGCCTCCCACTTTGCAATACGGGCATCACTCCTTGGTACAATGTGGCATCAGGAAGCCATGGGTAGCAGCGCCAAGCCATCACACACTGAACGCCACCAACTTCCAACACGATCCGTATCAGTGGGAGCAGCTGGGATGCACACACCTGCAAACCACCAGCCCCTGTGGAAATGTGCAAGAAGCCCAGGATCTCTTCTTTTCATTTATTTTTAATATAAACCAAGGATGGGGAATCTGTGACCCTCCAGCTTCCATCAGGCCTGACCACTGGCCAAATGCGAGTCCATTCCTGCATTGCAGGGGGTTGGACGGGATGATCTTTCCAGCAATACAATGCTATGATTCTATAAAGCTAACACCACCATTCTTATGGCCAAAGGAGAAGGCGACTGCAAGAGGCTCCTCTAGCGATTTAAAGAGCATGCACGAGCTGGCCAAGGAGGAACCCAGCTGCAAGTTCTTCGACTAACCGGAGCGTTTCCGCCTGCCTATGCAAAAGACAAAATGCGCCTCCAGGAAACGAGCCGTGAAAACAGCACACTATGTGCGGTGGTGGTGGTGGTGGAGGAGGAGGTTGTTGCGTGGCAAGGTTGGCGCAGATCCAGCCGCGTGAATTATGGGGCGTTTGCTTTCCCCACTATTGGGGACGGAGAGGCAAGACACGAGCTTGCCCAACTGTGTAAGGCTTCTGTCCTACACAGGCTCACAAAACCAGCCTACGCACATGATGATGCGTGTGCCCAAAAGGAAGTCCCGCTGACACCTTACCCTCCCCTCCCCAGCAGCAAATAAACTTGCAGCCTCAAGTCTCAGACATTGACCTCGCTGCAGCTTACTTCCGAGTAAACAACGGGGGGGGGGAGGTCGAAATGCACGTGCGGACGGCACTCGCCCTCCCCGGAGGGGGGGGAGCAGAGACGGGGCAAACCCAGCCTCCCATTTCTTCAAGCGCCTTCGTTTGCCAGCCACCCACCACCACCACCACCACAAAAGCAGTCGCTTGTTGCCATTCAGTATCCAGAAAGTTCCCCTTAAAGGAAGCGTCGCTTTTAAACGCCCTATTTCCCACGGATCAAAACAAGCATCGAGTGGGTGACTTAGTTTGGGGTGGGGGGAAATCCTCTCTATTTGTTTCTTCACTGGATCGTTTCTGAAACCTCGCGCGCGAACGCATTTTTTTAAAAAACAACAAAAAACCCAGAAACAAAACAGAATAAGCAGCGTTTTTTTACCTTGTTCATCCCATTCCCCATGGCTCTAAGCGGTCTGAAACTTTAGCACCAGAGACTGGAAGCAGCCCAATTGGTGGCACGCCGCAAATAATAAAATAAAATAAAAATGCGCGATGGGCAGAGGAGGAAGTATTTACTCCGTTGTGAATGGGAAATTGGGTAAACGGGGTGGTTGTGTTGTTATTTTGCTGCGCAGCTCGCCAGCATCTTCCCCCCCGCCCCGCCCGCAAAACTGCCTGCGAGCCCGGGACTTTCCTCCTAGGCGTCTTATGATCGGAGGTTTTTCCGCCCGGCCGCCCCTGGACTCGGCTGGAATCGGAGAAGCAGCTCAGCTTGAACTAGTTGCGAGCTCGCCCTTGCCAGGAATTGCGTCTCGCTCCTGCCCTCCTTGCCTTCAACCACTCCCACGTGCGGTTAAAATCCAGGCGCCGAGCGAGCTTCCCCCGATCTCGCCGCCAGTGACTCTGGGGCTCGTAGTTTTCACGCTAACCCCGCGCCGGGCTAAGCCTCGGCTCGAAGACTACAGCTCCCGGCATGCGCTGCGCCAAGCACGGGCTCCGCCCTTTCGAACGCGTAGCGGAGCGTGAGCTTTCATTCCTGGAAGGATGAGTAAGCGGCGTCTGGGGCTTCTAGGCGAACTGTGGGCGTGGACGTTCAGTTTCTGAGCAGGGGCAGCCCAATTCCGCGACTTACTTCTCTTGCATATAAAATATTTCTATTTTTTGCCGTTCATGCAAATCAGCACTTTGTCAGAAAAGAGTTCAAGCCCTCGTTGCAGGATCTTTCTTTTCTTCCAGTAAATGGCTACATTGGAACATTGTTTACCACGACGTGTATTTCGATGTTCCAGTTATAGCAAAGTTTTCGGAGCTGGAGATAAGCAGGAGTTGTTTTGTGGGCGTGTCGAAGGTAGTGTTATCGGCTGTGGTGTGTGCCGTGTTTTCATCCCATCCGTTTTTGCAAATTCCGCCTCCATTGCCCTCAAAACCCCTGTTGTTGTTTTTTACCAGAAGCTATCGTGGGGATTTCTGCATGCAGTTTTTAATCCATCACAACCTACTCAGCTTTAGTGCAATGGAATCCTATGTATGTTTACACCCAGTTAAATTGTTGTTTAGTCGTTTAGTCGTGTCCGACTCTTCGTGACCCCATGGACCAGAGCACGCCAGGCACTCCTGTCTTTCACTGCCTCCCGCAGTTTGGTACCCAGTTAAATACTCCCTTAAAAAGAGAGGTGGAGCTTAAAGGTAAAGAGACCCCTGACCATTAGGTCCAGTTGTGGCCGACTCTGGGGTTGCGGCGCTCATCTCGCTTTATTGGCCGAGGGAGCCGGTGTACAACTTCCGGGATGTCATGTGGCCAGTTTCCCTTTCCGCCACAGTGGTACCTATTTATCTACTTGCACTTTGACATGCTTTCGAACTGCTAGGTTGGCAGGAGCAGGGACCGAGCAACGGGAGCTCACCCCGTTGCAGGGATTCGATCCGCCAACCTTCTGATCGGCAAGTCCTGGGCTCTGTGGTTTAACCCACAGCCCAGGTAAAAGAGCTACAAGCTTTAAGAACTTTTTGGGTCTCCTACAGTAGCTAATGGTTTTCTGGTGCTTTGGGTACCTCAAAAGTTAGAGAAACAAGCTTGAAACAGCTGCACGTTAAAAAAAGAATAAATTTAAAACCCAAATATAGTTTACAGCAGGAGTGGGGAACCTGTGGCTCTCCAGATGTTGTTGAACTACAACTCTCATCATCCCTGTCTGTTGGCCATGCTGGACTGGGGCTGATGGGAGTTGGAGTGCGGCAACTGGAGAGCCAAAACTTTATGGAACTGCACTATTTAAAAGCCATTCTTATAGTTGACAAGCCTTTTTCTTTAGAAGCATCTGCAGTTGCTAGTAACTTAAACAGACCACACCTCCTCCCTATCCTTTATTCTGTTTGCAATAGCCTGTTAGAACATTGATGAAAGGGACCAGGAATCAACATACCAGCAAAGTATGACACAGGTCTGACAGGTCACAAGCAGATTCCACTCTGACGGAGCAAAGTCACCTGTGGTCAGGCTTGGAACTGTGTTTGGAAAACTTGAATGGTTTTTCCCCCCCAAAACTTGGTTTATTCTGAGACAAGCTGGATCTAATGGCATCCCTGTGGATATACACCTCATTGAAATTACGGTACATATCTTCTCACTCCTGCTTGTTTGCCAGAAGACAGAATAACAGAGTTAAAAGTCAACTTCAGGTGCAGTGTTGGAAATCCAGGGCATTAGTGGTGCTATGCATATATCCCTGTGCAGCTGATTCACAGATGTAGCAGGGGGCCTTTTACCTTAATGGGGGATACAGTAGTACCTCGGGTTACATACGCTTCAGGTTACATACGCTTCAGGTTACAGACTCCGCTAACCCAGAAATAGTACCTTGGGTTAAGAACTTTGCTTCAGGATGAGAACAGAAACCATGCTCCAGCGGCGTGGCGGCAGCGGGAGGCCCCATTAGCTAAAGTGGTGCTTCAGGTTAAGAACAGTTTCAGGTTAAGAACGGACCTCCGGAACGAATTAAGTACTTAACCCGAGGTACCACTGTACTTCCCACCATCACTGAAGCAACAAGGGAGTTAGAGAGAGAAAGGAATGACTTGACCCCCTTTTCCAGCTTTGATTCACATCCAGGCCAGAGAATAATTTATAGGGCTGGAATGTTTGTCTTGCAAGCTAAGACAAGATTCCTTTTTTGAAGCCAGGAAATAAGATTCATAGCATCTCAAGAGGAACCCTGCTCATATTCCATAAAAGAAATAGGACATAGTTAAGACGTTACTCCAATACAGTGATACCTTGGGTTACAGACGGTTCAGGTTACAGACTCTGCTAACCCAGAAATAGTACCTCGGGTTAAGAACTTTGCTTCAGGATGAGAACAGAAATCGTGCTCGGGCAGCGTGGCAGCAGCGGGAGGCAAAGTGGTGCTTCAGGTTAAGAACAGTTTCAGGTTAAGAACGGACCTCCGGAATGAATTAAGTTCTTAACCCAAGGTACCACTGTATTAGGTGCTAATTTATCATGTTTGTATCTCTCTCCAAGCTGTATTGTTTAATTTAGGCTATGAGACAATTGGCTGCACAATGAGCTTCTGCTAGAATTTTCACATCGAAATCCCAAGGACTCTTACAACTGCAGCATGTATATAGTTCAGTGGGCACCCATGATTGTGATAGTATGGAGAAAATAGATATCTCGGACTGGGGGTATGGATTTTGTACATTACAAAACCCACTCAGGAAGCCCTATGGTCATTCCGATTTAATGCCGTATACTAAATGAGCCATACTTCTCTCTCAGCCTAAAGGGATGGCTGGGATTAGGTACAGTCCACCAGGCAAAATAGTGTCATCCTTCAGTAATCTGTCATACAGTGATAAGAATAAGGCATTCCTCCAGCAGCAACAAAAAGGCATCATAGCTAATTTTGCACAGCTGAGAATAATAGAGATAAAAAGCCAAAAATACTTTGTTGGTTGACTTCCATATCTTTTGCTTGTATGTGTATGCCTATTTATAGCAAGGAAAGGGACCAGATGACTTTCCTGATGTAGTTGGACCACAGCTATCATCACACCTGGCTGAGGCCAAAGGTAGCTAGAGGTCAGCAACATCTGGAAAACCACAGGTTCACTACCCTGACTCATAGCTCCATTCTCAAAAGCCCAAGTCCCTTAAAAAATGAAGAATAACCAGAGTTCCCTTTTGCAATCTGAAGGATGGTTCTGCACATTATTGGTTTTTGTTCAAATTCAGCAAAGGTCCTAACCAGATGCAGAAAAGGGTAGTACTAGAATGACACTTGTTGCAAATCTCTGTCTTGATAAATTGGACAGATGGAAAAAGGAAGGTCTGTCAAGCCCAGGACCTGTTGTAGGAGGAAGGGCGCCTTCATCCCATTGTTATTGTGACTGTGTAGATGGCATGGCCTGTGTGAAGTTCCCAAAGCTTCCTGTGGCCTACATTGTGGATGGGAAGTGACAGGCAAACAATGACATACTCCCACCTTTAGGACCACAAAATGCATAAACCTCAGCCAGTTCCTCTCTGTCCAGGTTCTGTCAATGCATGGCGCTGGCCAGTGCAGAGGATGAAGTCCTCTAAAAATCATTGCTCTCCATTGTTAAATTTCACCTTGGAAAAAGCACCCAAAGTTAACCCTCACCCCAGACATAAGAGGAGAAAGAATTACTTTGCAATCAGGGTGGCAGCTACTGCAATGACAGCCCACCTCTCCCTGCTAGAAGGCAAGTAAGTAATCAAAGAGACAGGAAATACCGTATTTTTCACTCTATAAGACGCACCAGACCATAAGACGCGTCTTGTTTTTGGAGGAGGAAAACAAGAAAAAAAATATTCTGAATCTCAGAAGCCAGAACAACAAGAGGGATCGCTGCGCAGCAAAAGCAGCGATCTCTCTTGCTCTTCTGGCTTCTGGGATAGCTGTGCAGCCTGCATTCGCTCCATAAGACGCACACACATTTTCCCTTACTTTTTAGGAGGGAAAAAGTGAGTCTTATAGAGCAAAAAAATACGGTATGAACTGGTGACTTCTACAAAGTGGAAGCTGAATGGGCTGAATGGACTGGGGAGGTTTTTATGCCACTGTCCTGCTTCATCCAAAAATTGATTTCAGGGTAGATAAAATAATTTAAAATCAAGAATTGCAAAATAAAGCATCACCAACAATTCCCTAAAGTTAAGAATTAAAAACCATTCAGCCAGCTAGAAATGCCCTAATGTAAAACGCTGAGGCAAAAGGGGTTTAATCTAATGCTGGAAATAATACGGTGTCAGTGCCAGACCTTACCTCAGAGCAGGCTATTATTATTATTATTATTATTATTATACCCCACCCTTCTGAACCTCCATGATGCACTTCATCTAATGATGGAACATGAGGAAAGGCACCCAAAATATAATAGTCTTTGCCACAGCTTTCCACTGGAAACTGTCACCCTCAGCGAAGTCATTTCACTAGCAAACAAATCACTTGACCAAATATTTCTGTAAATAAAAGCAAGCAGCCACTCCAGGAAATTTCACAATATCCTTTTATATTATTGTTGTTGTTATTTCACCTGCTGTGATGGTTCCTTTATTTGTCACTGTCGCACAGAAAATGAAACTTATCTTAATCTGCTTGAATATCTGGGCAGTGCAGTAATGTAGAGAGACAATTTCATATTTAGGAGCTTTTCCACTGCTGAGTAATTTTACTGTTTAATATAAACTGATAGTATCTGGCCAAATATTCGGGGGGTAAGTCACTATAGAAATGAAGGTAGGTTTCCTGTGTTGGTTGGAGTATTTTGCCAAAATGTCTTGTCGTAGTTTCAGAGCTGAAATCATATCAAACC